CTTTAGAGCAGAATTGTCCAGGCGGGAACATGCACGTCAAGCGTTTGTCAAAGTGGACAATGATCAAGCCTGTCGGAGAGCTCTCCTTCAAAGAACAAGACCTAATAGGGGACGATATCAACCAGGGGATTGGATAATGTTATGGAGGGATAATAAGAGATGGATAGGTCCTATGAGGGTAATCCAACAAGAAGGAAATACATGTGTGTGGGCAGTTTTTGGAAATCGACTTTATCGTGGAGCACCTGAACAAGTCAGACCACTGTCCGCTGTAGAAGAAGTGTCCCTCGAGAAAACATGGTCCAATCCAAAAGAGGAGAAACCGATAGGTAGGCCAGAGTTGAACGAAAGTTTTGGTGACATGCCTGCTCCAACGCAAGGGGCAAATCCTGAAGTCTTGTCGCAGCCTGGTTCCAGAAGAGATTCCACTGAGCCTGAACCATCAATTGGCAGTCCTTCAATTGTTAACACCGAAGACCTTGAAGAGAACATACAACATGAAAATGATCACATTGAGATTCCTGTACCTGACGATGATGATGATGAGCTGGTTTGTGAAGCCTTACAGGTAAATAGTGATCAATGCTGGTCGATGCAAATTGAATTGGATGTCAATGAGATCTCAAAGATGTGTCAAACTGATGAGGAAGAACAAGTAGCACTTCTTGTGTCGGCCGCCAAGAAACAACGTAGTGAGATCAAACTTAAAGATCTGTCAAACGAAGACCGCAAGTTGTTTGATGCTGCCAAGAACAAAGAGTTGCAGTCATGGCTTGACACTGGAACCATTCAGCGAATTTGCAGGCAACAAATCCCAAAGGAGAATGTGCTTCGCTGTCGTTGGTTGTTGACATGGAAAGACATGGGGGAGATCAATAAGACCACGAAAACTCCAAAGGCCAGATTGATTGTATTGGGATATGAGGATCCACAACTTTGTGAACTTGACAGAGATAGTCCAACACTATCCAAACTGGCAAGAATGCTCATTCTCCAATTTGCTGCAAGCTCTGGCTGGGATATTGGAAGCTTTGATATTCGCACTGCATTCCTGCGAGGGAGTGATGATTCTCGTCAGCTAGGTTTAGAACCTCCGCCTGAACTGCGCACCAAGATGAAGCTAGCTGATCATGAGATTGTACAACTCCTCAAAGGTGCATACGGAAGAGTTGATGCTCCGCTTTTGTGGTTTCGTGAATTCCAAAAGGGATTATTGGAGTTACAATTTACTCAATCTCCCTTTGACCCATGCCTTTTTACACTGCAGGACAAGAAGGGCAAAACGTGTGGACTGATTGGCATACACGTTGACGATGGGCTGTGTTGTGGTACACCTGAATTTCATGCAAAACTGAAGTTGCTTGAAGAGAAATATCCTTTTGGCAGTCGCAAAACCAGAGACTTCATTTTCACAGGGCTACATATTCAACAACATCAAGACTATTCTATTACAGTGGACCAATCAAAATATGTAAAAGCCATTGAACCAATACATGTACAACCTCAACGTCGACATGATCCTCAACAACCTGTGACTGAAGATGAGCGTCAACAATTGCGTGGGCTAATTGGAAGTTTGCAATATGCCTCAACAAACAGTAGACCTGACTTGGGAAGTAGATTGTCATTTCTTCAGAGCCAAATCAATCATGCTGTTGTTCAAACTTTGATGGATGGAAATCGAACTCTACAAGAGGCCAAGAGACATGCAGACACAGCGTTGCGAATCCAACCGATACCACTGCATGAGATTCGTTTTGTATCTTTCTCTGATGCGGCCTTTGCTTCCAACAAGAATCACTCCTCTCACAAAGGAATGCTTTTGATGACAGCACATAAAAGCATTGGAGAAAATCAGAGTAGCCCGGTCAATCCAATCCTGTGGTCCTCTCGCAAGATACAGAAAGTAGCAGTGAGCACGCTGTCAGCAGAGGCAATGGCCTTAGCAAGTGCAGTTGATACCTTAGCCTGGGCTAGACTCTTTTGGGCATGGTTAGTTGATAATTCATGTCAATGGCAGTTGGGTGACCAAACCTTGTTGCGCCTTCCACCTGCTTTCACCGCACTGAAAGATGAAGACGATAGCGATGAACCAAATGAGTCCTTAATGCGCACTCATGAAATCAGCAAAAAGATGAGTCTTGCCGAAAGTATCATCAGCACTGATTGCAAGAGTTTATATGATATAATCAGTAGGACTGCGCAGCCAGCATGCTCAGAATTTCGTACACTGTTGCAGGCCAAACTGATCCGAGAACACTTAGCAACTGGTGTGATGATTAGGTGGGTTCCAACTGGGGCCCAAATGGCAGATTCATTGACAAAGATTATGGACAGTACGGTTCTCCGAGAGTGTCTTCGTCTTGGTCACTATAGGTTGCAGGATGAAGCCCAAGTTCTCAAGACCCGAGCCGATGCCAAAACTCGCATTCGCTGGCTTCGTGGGACGGAGTCTAATTCAAAGAGTTCTGAGAAAAGCCAAGTCGTCTCGGAAACCGATGCATTTCAATAGGAAACCTGCTCGAAATAATAACTTGTACACATAATCTCAAATAAGTTGATTTATCAAGCAGTCTACGACTTTTGAAATAAAGCCGGAGATTTTTGAAGCTTGATTGGCAAAGTCTGGAAGATGCACAACACTTGGATGGACATTGAGATGTCTGACATGCGGGTTGGCATGATGGGGTTCAAGTGCATGACAAGGTCAAATTTTGGTGCATCTGCCGAAGTCGTTGGTTTGGAAGTTTTGGAGTTCTCTCTGAACATGACGAATGCAGGAAATTCTTTCGAATTAAAAGACTGGGAGTGTCAATCCAGCATTCACATGTTCCAACCCTTTGCATCCAGACAGCCTGGTCACCCTTGAGAAGTTCCGGATGTGTGCTGACAATGCGGCCCAAAGCGGGTGGGACGTGGCGGGATCGCTTCGAGCCATGAAAACAAGCGTGGCCGCTTGAAGTCTTGGGATTGGCGTGGCAGCCATAGGAATTTCATAGAAGTTGGCGAGGACGCCATAGGTATCAAGGTGAGGACACCTTAGGTTCACAGGTGGACCCGTTACCAATCAATTGAGAATATACACACATATGTATATACATATATATATATATATGTACACACATATATATATATATATATGTATATATATATGTATACACATGCCTTTCTCTCTCTCCCTCATCTCTCAAACATTGCGAATAAGACACTGTGAAGTCAGATGGGTTCAGACAAGCTGACGCTCACACTAGTATCACTAGCACTGATGGGTAGGTTGAGAAAGGTCAGTTCAAATCCATCGAAATCGATAAAGTAGAACATCGAGTATCGAGTGTTGATGATTAAACAGGGCCACGCTCTGACCCTTGGTGAACGTTCACATCCATGTTAGCATTGTCTTCTACATCGATATTGCAAGAAACTTTGTTTGAATCACTTGAATCTCAAAGGCAGGCACAGCTTTTGACTTTGCACTGTGGCCACAGGAGGTTCCATAGAGTCTTACATATCCTCTCTGCCTCATGCTGCAAAATTGAACGACAGAGTTCTGTAACCACTTCCGATGCTCTAGGAGTTAACGCACATACACACACACACAAACCAGATCTTAAGCTACTAAGGCGAAGGCTTGGAGTGTTTCATACGTGGACTAAACTGGCGTGTATTTGCCCTGCCATATGTGGATGGCTACAGGTCAAAACCCACTGCCCACAGCCACCTATCGAAATTTAGATACGTATATCCAGCGCCATGGCCCCCAACCCATGATCCAAACTTGTTAGCAGAAGTCCTGATCAACAGCGCCACCTTAAATAGGAAAAAAGAGAAGCCGGAGATAACCAGGAGTGTGCGAAACGAATAGGAGACAGTTCGATCTATCGAAAAGGTCTGCAATCATATCCTAGGCTTGTGCATAGAGCTTTGCAGTGGAACTCTTCAGGATCCCTTTGATACAGGGGCGACCCACATGCGATACTATGCCATCCGATAGGACAAGGAACAATATATTCTACTATGACAACATGTCATTTGATACCAAGTGACATGACACATGAATTCTGCACTCAAACTATGCTGTGGAATGGTCCTGTCATGAATAATGATGAATAATGTATGTCAGTCGACAGAGAGCTAGACTGCTGCCTGTACCAGGAACCACTGGCTTGAAAGATTTTACACCCTACCCACCTCGGTCAGGAGATTTCTTCGCTTTTTTTTTTGTGGGCAGGACTCTTCTTACAACATGCTGCTGCTCTTATCGACCACAGCCAGAGTCTTACCGCTTGGATTCCTTTATGTCCACTTAATGAAACACAAAACCGATGAGTGCCACAAAGTGTTGCACACTAGCCACCAGGCGAAGCATTTTGAGTACTTGCAGAGTGCCACCATTGGGTGCCTTGCCTCACAAATGACAGATGATGTGGCCTCAAAGAGCCCGCGGGGAGATTGATTCAGCTGGTTGGACTTCTACCACTTTAGAATGTATACCGTATATCCGTATATAGTATATATGTTCACTTATCTACGGTCTGGTAGGTTGGGATAAGTGGGGCAATCTATAGTTCATCCCCACACCATTGGCAGCTCTGGATTTGTTCTCTTGATTCTTTGATTTAAGTTTGGATGATCTCTTTATTTATTTCAGGAAGATCAGTGATGCGATTGCGAAGAGTTCAATTTATTTGGAAGATCCGTGAAGCTCTTGATTCTTTGACTTGAGATTGGATGATTATTTTATTTATTTCAGGAAGATCAGTGATGCGATTGCGAAGAGTTCAATTGATTTGGAAGATCCGTGAAGCGATTGCGAAGAGTTCATTTTATTTTATGAAAGATCTGGATGTAATTTGTGAAGTGCAGGTTGAACGATCGTTCAATCATTTAGAGTGATCACGTTTGAGCATATCAGGATTGATCAATCCTGATGCCATTTTGGCTCAAGATTGATCAATCCTCTCCATTTTCAGCTCGGGCCTGGGCAGTCACCCTCGCACGCCATGAGTCGCGGAACTGGATCTGGCCAAGCTCGTGGCGGCAACTGGGGGTATGGATACAGATCATGGGCCGGGCAGAGTTCAGCCCATAACCCCTATGTGGTCCAGATGCCCAAGTTCTTGGAGCCGATCGGAGAGACGGACGATGCGGAGGACACGTCCATCATTGTGGTCGACTCCCGTGACGATCGTATGGTGTCGCCGTTCCAGACATGGCTTGTCAGTGAGATCATGTCGAATGCGGCATCATCGATCAATGTCCTCACGGAGAGGGACCAAGTCATGCCTCCCAGTTCGGGTTTTCACATATCGCTCTTCGCCAACTACACGCTGGATGGAATCAAAGCTGTTTTGGCGATCGCCGTGGAAGCCGATACGGGGAACACATGCGCAGGATGGGATGCAGGTGCAGCTCAAGCCCTTTCCCATCCTGCATTCCAGCCATTTTCATGGCCAATGCTGCGGGATACATCCGCATCCTACACCGACATCAAGATCTACAATGGCAACGAGATCCTCTTTCACTGGGTCTTGAGGGGTTTTAGATCCGACACCGACTTGACCGTCCAGACCCAGTTCGTGGACGAGTTCTTCGTCAGGGAGGTCAACAAGGGAAAACCCCGCCTGTCGATCGTGGTGGCGGTCTTCGTTGGTTGGAGGGTGTCGGTCATGAGCTTTGAATGTGGGGGCCGCACATATGCTCTGGGCCCGGGCGGCTCTGTGGTAGCGGGCGACTCTGCTCGCTCGAGATTTGAGCTGCGGGTGTGTTCCAGAGCATCGATCGATGCGGTCGGAAACGATGCAGATAGGCTGGAGTTCCGCTATCGTGACGCCAACAACCGGATGGACTTGAAGTGCTCTCGCACCTCTGTACCGGGCACATGGCTCACGGTGTCCCATATTTCAGGTCCGACATTGATCAGGACTATCACATCGGTCCGTGAAAACAAGGCCCGTGTGGAAGGGCCAGAGCAGACCGAGCAGTTCGCTCAGCTTGCGGCAGTTCACGAAGGCTGGTGGAAGAAGTCTATGGCTCAGGATGAAGATGACGTTGGCTCCTTGGTTGTCTTCGTGGATGGTCTGGAAGAAGGGAATTTCCACGTCCAAGCTCGCTCCAAGCTTTTTGTGAGAGCTCCGGAAGTGGTGACCGTTCGCGCCCTTGCTGAAATGACTCATCAGGAGTCGAAGCCAGCGCCGATCGGCCCTCCCTCTCTGACAGCCGAGGCATGGCTCACTAGCAGCGAGGCGGTCCAGGTGAACGAGGAGGATCCCACAGGCGAAGGTACTGTGGTGGCGGTCAGGCGACAAACTGGCATGGAGCTCAACCACCGCTCGTTCAGCACCCGTCAGATCAATGTGCTCAGCAAAGGGGAAGCAGGCCATGTTGACGATGCAGAGCGCGATCGTGCACGGGAAGGCCGCAGATTTGCTCGCTCGACAGCTGGCCTGACACCGGCGATCTTTGCCGAGGAGATGATGCGCAGATCATGCAATGTCACCACCGCCGTGATCGAGGAGGTGGAGCCGGCTCAGCATGTTGAAGGTCAGGCGCGCTCGGCAGCAGCACCAGGGCCAAAGAGCTTCTCGCCTCCGATGCCAGAATGATCTAGAAGTGGCCGACGCTCTTTCCTGGTCGTGTCCATCGTTCCTGAATTGCTCTTCAACATCAGCACGTGGATGGATCGATCTTGAGTTTTTCAACTCCGCGCGCGAGATCGGTGCGCCGATCGGCGGAGCGGCTTTTCATTTCAATGATGCAGTCCGACAGGGACGAGAAAAACCATTGGCCAATTTTATTTCGATTTTGATTTAATTTGTCCTGCGGCTCAGCTGTCCTGATCTCCCAGTGTCCGTTCTCTTTCACTGGCTGCGACAGCGAGGGAGAAGGGATTGGGGTCTTATTTCAACACCCGATCGGGTGAGCATACTGTAGCCGGTTGATCATGCCAGCTCAGTAGGTTAGGATCCTGCTCCCCGGGTCGGTTTGTGTTGATCCCCCCATTCCTCCCTAAGTTCGGGTCTGTTCATGTAGGTCACCCTCGCCCGTAGGACCCAGTTCGAGCTAAGTTTGGATCCCTTAACTTTCTCTTACTGGTTGTCTCTTTCCCCCATGTTCATGGCACCTTGTTGGTTGATCTACCCAGGGTCATGTTCATGCATGAGGGTCTAGAGATGGATTCTTGATCTTTTATTCGAGTGTATTTCATTCAATGATGTTCATCATGAAGTGCGGTGTTCTTCCATGGTCGATTGATCCATTCCCATGGATTCCACACGCATACTCATGATAGGGGAGATCCCCCCCGGTCCCAGATCCCGGGACCCTGCCACGGCCGATGGGTGGATCTCACTCATTGCGCCGCGCTGCAGGCTAGATCCTCAGCATGTCGATCGACGTGCAGTTCACTGATTGTTGTGGGTGCTCAGCAGTGTTTGATCAAGACAGCTCAGCGGCCACGTAGGCAGATCTCACCCCTGATTTCAGCATGGATCGTTCTATTCACAGATTTTTATGCCTACCGATTTTTGATGATAGTTTTAGATTTGTCCTGCGGCATCTGGGACTTGATCATGTCGAGTATTGGCTCGCCTTGTCGGGGGACGACGCTTAGACGCCTGATGCCAAGATCTCAGCATTGCTCCCGGCTCTTACTGGCGATCAAGAGATCCTAGATCAGATGTTGCTCAGACTTGACATGGTCAATTTGCTGGCCGCGATGGTCGCAAGATCGGCCAAGAAGGTCCGAGCCGAAATTGCCGCTGATCTGGGCTACGGTTGTGCTGAGCCGCCGCGGGTTGGGTCTAAACGGCCCGCTGGCGCAGTGCAGCACGAGGTGCCGCTGAAAACGGCGATCGACCCTCCGCCGGCCGGCCCAGGATCCTGCGCCGAAGTCGCTTCGATTCAAGAAGCTGAGGGCGGGGAGAAGAAGAAGTGGGGCCCGCGGCTCCAGCAGATTTGCCAACGTGCCGGCTCGGCTGCAGCGATCAATGACCCTGCCAAATGCGCAGGGCTGCAACCAGCAGAAGCCGCGCGGCTGAAGGCGCTCGCTTTCGAAGCTGGTGGTTTCCGAACGATCCGTCAGAATGTTCGGAATTGGGAAAAGTTTGAGGAGTGGGCTGTTGCTCAAGGCCTCAGAGTTTATCCACCCACTATAGTGGCCATCATGAAATACGCCATTTACCTCTCCGATCAGGGGTGTGGCCCGGCAGTTCTGCCTTCCTTCAAGTATGCGGTCGGCTGGATCTGCAAGAGGCTGGCTATGGCGTGCCCCGAAATGGGAGACACGCGCTTCAAGGCTCTCATCGACAAGGTCCATGCTGAGCGGGGCAAAGAGCTCAAGGAAGCAGTTCCCTTGCCACCTAAGCTGATCGTTGCTTTGGAGGTGCTCCTCGCCCGCCTGATCCTCGAGGACAGGAAAGCGGCGGCGGTGATGACATGGTGGGTTCTCATTTTGATCTACGCCTCGCTCAGGTTTGACGACGGGGTCCACGTCTCCCCTACATCTCTTCAGATGAAGGACGATGTGCTGCTCGGAGTGGTTTGGCAGACGAAAGTGGATCGCAAGAAGCGGGGCACCAGGTTTGCAGTCCCAGCGTGCTCAATCTCTGGGACAGAGTGGTTGAAGATGGGCTGGGAGATCTTCCAGCCCATGGTGACTGATCGCGACTATTTCATTGGCGAGCTCAAGAATGAGAAGGAGTTCAACCCTTCGCCCATCACCTATTCGAGAGGGCTCTCCTGGCTCAAGAGCTTTTTGCTGCAAGGCCTGATGGAAGCTCGGCACCTCGAGCTGGTCGCGGTCAACGAGCTCAGTGGGCTGGAAGACGCAGTTCGCGAGGTCACCTGGCACTCCATGAGGGTCACAATGTTGGCTGAAGCTGTGAAAGCCAGGGTCGACGACAAAATCGTCGGTCTTCAGGCGAACTGGAAAGATCCCAGTCAGCTGGTTTTGAAGTATGCCAGGCAAAGGAAAGAGCTCTCCGTCGCCATGGTCAAAGAAATGGCCGACAAGTTCCGGAAGAGCTGGACTCCGAATCCGGAGGAGTTCGTTGTGGAGGAAGAAGATGAAGAGGTGACGGAACCGGTGGTCATCGAGTTCATCGTCAAAGCCTCCCTGCCTGAGAAAGCTCTCCAGGCCTGTGATTTTCGTTGCCATATTTTTGACCGAAGGGTCAATGAGTCAGCCTCGATCTGTGGCAGACTGAAAATGGCAGATGCGGTGTCGGTAGGAACCCAGGCACCTGGCATGATCTGCCAATTTTGTAAATCCAAAGCTGACATTTGATTTTATGTTCGGCTTGCCGGAAAAAGAGAAAGTGCTCGCCGGCAGTGGAGGGTGATCAACCGTCCTGCCGCTGAATCATCCGGGCGATCTGTATCATGGAGTGGTTGAGACGTCTTACTGCACCACATTGATCATATGTGCCAGTTTGCTTCTCCTTCCTCCTTTTTCATTTATTTTCCTCCTCCACATGATTTTTGATCTTAACTGATTTTACATGATTTTATTGGCGGCATTATTTTTCCATGATCATGTTTCCTGCGACTGATCAGTAAGTTGCATCTGGATTCTGCACAGTTCACGGCCGTCGGTTGGTGGTCACGTTGATCTGCGTGCTATCAGCTCTCGGCCCGAACCTCCCTGGTGTCAAGCACACTCGCTCGTGTGTATCATGGTGGATCGCACCGCGTACGCCGACGAGGCGCATACACCCAAGATCGCGCTGCGCCAGATCTTTGGGCGGTTGGCTCTCAGATCTGAGCTATGCCGCGCGGCGGCTGATGGCGGGCTGCTCAGCGTGGAGGTCTTCGCCATGCTTGGTGATACGGCCACGGCCGTTAAGACATCTCTGCAGACACTGCTCCCAACATCTACACTGGGCGCCGATGCAGCTGCCCAGGAGCTCTCGCTGATGCAGCTCGCCGCAGTGTGGCATTCCTGCTTTGCTTTGCAAGGGCAGTTCGCCACGCGCAGGGCCAGGATGGAAGAGGATCCCACCAAGATCCCTGAGATGGCTCAAGAAGATCATGCAGAGTTCAGGTCGCGCTTTGTCACAGCGCACCCCGATGTGATCCTCTTGGATGCTAAGGCACCACATAAGAAGTTCGTGGAGAAGCTCAGCCGCGATTTCTTGGTCCATGGGATGGTGCCGTTCTACACGGTGGCCGAGATCCGCACCAGGGCCGACAGTATCATCCAGAAGTCAGGCCTCACCAAGAATGCAGAGGATCTCCTCACTATTTCAAAGGTGGATGAACCTGATCAGGTCACTGATGTTCACACTTTGCTGCACCGGGTTCACGCCTTCTTTATGGCTCTGGAATACCTGCACATTTGCACCTACTCAAGGAAGGCCGGACCTCTCCGGTACATGCAAGAGCTCGAGCAGTTCCGAGCTGAATGCCCGGGACTGCCCTATTTGCTCGCGGCCGACTCCTTGATCAGGAAGAAGGTCAACCGTTTGCAGGCAGAACAGCGTGAGATCTACAGCACCTTTGAGCTGGCGCTGCTAGAGGTCCTCGAGAACCACAAGTATCTTTGGAATGATGCTCGCACCAAGGCAGTCTTGGCAAGGGTCGATCGTACCAAGCCGGAACGGTCGGACCCCCAAGATCAAGTGGTCGAAGGCGGTGTCGCTGCTCCGTCACCTTCCAAGCGCAAGAAGAAGCGCAACAAGAACAAGGGCAACAAGCCGGACGCCACAGAGGTCAAGCCTGTCCGCAAGGACCAGTTCGATAAGAAGAAGGACACCAAGGTCGACAAGGACAAGCGGATCCCTGAGTCCGAGTGGAAGGCGATTTCACAAGCGGCTTCTGCGGTCTCTGGCCCCAAGCGCTGCCATTACTTCAATTCTTCTATGGGCTGCGCTCTGGGCGACAAGTGCCGGTTCAAGCACCTCTGCATGGTGTGCGGATCCGCCCACTCCATGGTGGGCAACCACTGAACGGCTGATCAGCCCAAACAGCATGCCAGTGCGGAGAGGACGGTTGAAGGGCGATCTGCCCTGAATGTTCTCCCCTCACCGTTTTGGGGTTCGATGCAGCGGCCGACAGGGCCAGTTTTTCTAGAAATTTTTGCTGGGGAGGCCGGGCTCTCGCAAGCCGTCAGTGCTCGCGGGGTGCCGATTTTGCCCCCCATCGAGATCTCACCCAACAATTTTGTCCTGGAACCAGTGGATATTTTGGATCCTGCAGTTTTTCGTCATGTGAAATTTTTGATCAAGGAGAAGCTGATCATTTTTATTCATTTTGGCACACCATGCTCTTCTTTCAGCATTGCCCGCAAAAATGATGGCGGACCCCCGCCGCTCCGTGATCGGCAGCACTTGTGGGGGCGCCACGGGCTCAGCGAAATGGATCAGAAAAAGCTCGAAATGGGCAACCAATTTTTGAGGCTCACTGTCGAGTTGGCTCAGTTGTGCCACGCTCGAGGGATTCGATGGTCAGTTGAGAACCCAGCAACTTCGTTCTTGTGGTTGATGCCCCCCATGCAAGCTCTAGAGGCGTTGCCTGGGGTTAGGCGCTTTGTGCTCGATATGTGCCGTTTTGGGGCGCCTCACAAGAAGCCTACGGCTCTGCTTTCTTCGGCAGATCTTCAAGCTCTGGCTCTTGAGTGCGACAGTGATGTTCGCCCTCACGTCCATGAGCCGCTCGTCGGCACCGTGATCATCGACAACAAGAAGGTCTACAAGACGAAGTTGGCGCAGGTCTATCCCCCCGCGCTGTGCAGTGCGTGGGCGGAGACCATTTTCCCTGCCACCCAAGATCCTTTGGCTGCGACTTTTGACATGGTCACGGCCCCTGGGGATCGCAAGCGGCCGGTCGGCCAGGACTTGCCTTGGAAGCCCCACAAGCAGCAGCTCACTGCTGAGAAAGCATCTGCTGCTGGTTACCAGCTCAAGCGCTCGGCTCTCCCGCCTTTGCTCGCGGTGGAACTTGAGCCAGGCCAGGCGGTGAAGGTGGCCTTGAACATTCGCCACCCCTTCACCCTTGAGCCAGCACTTGAGCCAGATCTTCAGGAGGCGCTCGCCATGGTTGCTACACAGCCCGGTCATGTGCTCGCTCACAGATCAGGCGCTCTACAGTATTGGGAAGCTCGTGCACGTGTGCTCCTGCCCGTGACAGACAAGATCCTCTGCGCAGTGCCTGATCTGCACCTGCGCCGCCTGTTACGTGGAGCACCTGATGGCCAAGCCCCACAGCTCGGCAAGGTCACTCACATTGCTCTCTGGCGCGAGATGCTCCAGGCAGCCAAATGCATTGATCACAAGCTCGTGTCCGATCTTTTGCAAGGGTTCCCTATCGTTGGCTCGATCCAGCGCTCTAGGCGATGGTCTCGCATCCAGAATGCCGAAGAGCCCCTCCCAGTGGACGAGCTCTGCAACAGGGCCTGGGAGTTCTCTGACAAGGTCATAAAGAATGTCAACAGATGCGAAGTCACCGAGAACACCGAGAAGATCTGGGAAGCCACTATGGAGGATGTGAGTGAAGGATCTTCATTTGGACCTATGTTCTCGTTTGAGGAGGTCAGCCAATTTTTGGGAACTACGAACTGGATCCCGACCCAGAGATTTGAGGTCGTCCAAAAGAATAAGGTCAGAGGAGTGGATAGTGCCACAGTCAACGGAGTCAACATGGCCACGTTCATCACCGAGAAGATTGAGCTCCCCTCGACTGATGTGAACGTTGCAGCTCTACGTTGGCTCAGATCTCACGCAGCAGCCGGCTCCAACATTCAGGGCTGGGTTCTGGACGAAAGAAAGGCTTACCGCCAGATCGCCGTTCTGCCACAACAAAGAAGGTGGAGTGTGATCGCTCTGAAACAACCTTCGTCTGGCAAGATCGCCTTCTTTGCTATGATAGGTCATTCTTTTGGTCTGGTGGCTGCTGTTTATAATTACAACAGGAGGTCTGCGGCGATCACGGACGTCCTCAGACGTTTGTTCTTGGTAGCTGCGTTCAATTTTTACGATGACAAGTACGGGTTCGAACCAGAGGCCACGTGCTCCTCGGCTTTCGAAGTTGCCCAGAAAGTTCATTGGTGGTTGGGCGCTCAGTTCGACCCCAAGAAGCTCCAGCTGTGCCAGGACCCCACTATACTAGGGGTCACCTATGACCTGACAGCTATGCATCTCAGGATCAAGCCGGCGCGAAAAGATGAGCTCCTGGAAGAGATCGACGCGATACTGGAAGTTCAAGTTTTTCCACCAGGTCAAGCAGGCAAGCTCAGAGGCAAGCTGATGTTCGGAGCTTCTCAGCTCTGGGGAAAGATTGGAAGAGCATTTTTGCGATCATTGTCAGAAAGACAGTATACAAAAGTTCAACCACACTGCGCTGAACAAGGCGATCGTCCTTTCTCTAGAACACTGGAGATGGCTCATTGTCGAGGGACCGCCTCGGCCCATCCTTGAAACGAGACCGCGATCTGCGGACTATGTTTTGTTCACAGATGGTAGTTTTCCGGATGGCAAGCCTGGCTCTCCTCTGAAGCCGTGGATCGGCGGCGTCCTCTTCAAGAAAGGCGAGGTTCCGCTCCAATTTGGTTGCGAGGTCGACAGATCTCTGATCAAGAAGTGGTTGCCGAGAAAATCACAGATCGCAATGGTCGAGCTCTTTGCTACGGTCGTGGCACTTAAGACGTTCGAGGGTCACCTGGCAGAATCTTGGTCGCTCCTTCTGGTCGATTCTGAATCTGTTCAAGGAGCGCTGGTGAAGGGCTACTCTGCCCGCGAAGACGTCTGTGAGCTCGTAGGTGTCTTTGGAAAATTGCTCTAGATCTTAAAGTCAACCTTTATGTCGACAGAGTTCCGACTGATGCCAACCCCGCTGATCCTCCATCGCGCAATCATATGGAAGTAGGTGAGTCTTTAGGATGGAAAACTGTAGATCCGATTTTTCCTCTCCTCTGAACGGCGTGGGTCAATTTCAACAGATCCCGTTGGTTTTGCTCTGGGGTTTTTGATTTGCGATTGAGCTGATTCATTGCTCACATTTTCAATCGAGCGGATTCATTGCTCTCTATGCATTTTGTGATTTGATCGATGTTATCCTGGCAGATCGACCAGTGATCGATCATGCACCCCAAACTACCCACGTCTTTCGGGGTCAAAACAGAGAGGTCCGCTGCATTGGGGTGGAGCACATGTGTTCACATGTGCGTTGCATGAACTTGATTGGTTCACTTATCTACGGTCTGGTAGGTTGGGATAAGTGGGGCAATCTATAGTTCATCCCCACACCATTGGCAGCTCTGGATTTGTTCTCTTGATTCTTTGATTTAAGTTTGGATGATCTCTTTATTTATTTCAGGAAGATCAGTGATGCGATTGCGAAGAGTTCAATTTATTTGGAAGATCCGTGAAGCTCTTGATTCTTTGATTTGAGATTGGATGATTATTTTATTTATTTCAGGAAGATCAGTGATGCGATTGCGAAGAGTTCAATTGATTTGGAAGATCCGTGAAGCGATTGCGAAGAGTTCATTTTATTTTATGAAAGATCTGGATGTAATTTGTGAAGTGCAGGTTGAACGATCGTTCAATCATTTAGAGTGATCGCGTTTGAGCATATCAGGATTGATCAATCCTGATGCCATTTTGGCTCAAGATTGATCAATCCTCTCCATTTTCAGCTCCCACCACTCCCACCCTGGTTTTTTCCGGGGTGGGGGTTGATCCCCCACACTCTCTGATTTCCATTGATTCATGGATGGGGCTGTTTGCGCGGAAGCCGAGCCTAGCGATCGAGGCTGCTGCTGCGCGTGATCGACGCGAGACGAATCCAGCTGCTGTCAGCATATTCGTGATGTCGGTCACTGTCGGCGCTGTGTGATCCGTGCGACCGATAGTTCCCGTGATTTTCTTACTGTACCATTTGAGAGTGGGTCAATTTCAACAGATCCCGTTGGTTTTGCTCTGGGGTTTTTGATTTGCGATTGAGCTGATTCATTGCTCACATTTTCAATCGAGCGGATTCATTGCTCTCTATGCATTTTGTGATTTGATCGATGTTATCCTGGCAGATCGACCAGTGATCGATCATGCACCCCAAACTACCCACGTCTTTCGGGGTCAAAACAGAGAGGTCCGCTGCATTGGGGTGGAGCACATGTGTTCACATGTGCGTTGCATCAATGAACTTGATTGAAATACATATACATATTCGCTGTACCGCTATACCTTTGTTGAGAAGACTATACGCATCAGTTGCTTGCAGTACGGCTTGCTCACTGAAAACTTTGAGGCTCATGCCAAGGAGATGCCTACCAAAAGAAGGTGAGGCCCATGCAGCTTGCAGGCAGCTGATGAGAAGATGTGACATCGTCAAAATATTTCACAGTCGACATGCCTGTTATTGCATGTCATCTGTACTTCTTCCTGAGTTCTCGTCTTCCAACAACTTTTTGTGGAAGAAATCAAGGTTGGTTCAGTGCATGGAGGAAGGTGAGCAGTATTCGTTTCTGCAGCAGAAAATCTAAGATGAGTTGAACATACCTGTGGAGCATACCCAAGGTTCCTCCAACACCCCAGCTGAAAGGAATCCTTTCATAAAGCCGCTTCACGTGGCAAATGGTATACTCCAGGGATCTGTTTGATTTTTCTTTGAGAAAAGGCACTCTTTTTGCAGATCGTGGCTGGCATGAAAGAGCTTGTTCACCTTGTGTGGGAAGCAAAGCCAGCTTCTCAGTAGAATGGAGGGGAAGGGACCGCCATTGCCACAGATGGGCAGGAGTTGGGCACAGAACAATTGACAGATTTCAGTTGTTGTACTTTTTGAAATTTCCGAAATCAAATACAGTAGAATGAATTGCAAGACTAGATGTCTATACAAGGAAAAAACTGAGTTTGCACGTTGGAATTCAGGTCCATCGAGCGCTCCACAGCTGCCCTGTGTGCTGCCTTCGAAGGCCTCAATGAGGACAGAATTGGCTGATTTGTGGTGCCTGTGTGGAGCACGTCCTCAGTAGATCCCTTTTGGATCCCCCAGCTGTGTGGAACACGTCTTGGTCAGTGCAGCTCTAGAGACCGACTTATCCTGCAATGAAAGAGGCATCGCTGCTAAGGAGGATGGCAGAGAGATTGCTTCGAACATCACTTCGTTTTGCTCGCAACAAGAAGACCATGAAAAGGCATCGCCCGGCATCGCAGATCATCGCAGTATATTTTGTTCCACAATCCATTACTTCGCGTCATACTTCATCCCAACCTTGGACGGTTTGGCCTTGATAAGTTTGTTGAGTTTTTCTCAAGGCCCAAAAGGGAAGAGATAAATTAAGTCACACGGTGGGCCGCAGTAGTTTGTGATGTTTTCACAGATAGAGTTGACAGCAACGACAGATGCTGACTGTTTAATTCGCGTTTTTGAATTGACAGTCTTTGATAGTCGCCATGCGGCCACACCATCTCCGTCTCTCTCAGGCAGTGGAGGAGCTTCTGCACCTGACCGTTGCGTTTCTTCTCAACTCTTTCGCCGCGGCTTCAAACAATGAAGTGAGGTGAAAGTGCGACAGTATGGGAAAGTCATGGAAAGTCACTTTGTCTTGTCACGATCAACACATTGAAGATAAGCAAGATAAGCATGTTGAAGACACCTTTGTTTTGCATGATACTGTAGATGATTGGGACTGACAAGTACTGCGGTATATACATGTATATACACACTGAGTTATTGGGCCTAGCTACCCTGAGACTGATGGTCTTTTTTCTCAAGACGATGATACGCGTCCGACAGCTGGCAGGCTTTGCAGATTCTGTGCTCTTTTCAACCACTCTTGCAGCTCAGACCAAAGTCAGGAAAGGAGGTGGAAAAACCATGAGGAATCAATAGGGCAACTGTACGAATCATGAGGAATCTCGGTCAGTTAAATGATCTTCCATCCAAGGTGATCCCTCAGCAACGCCTGAGACACACGGTGGAATTGTGGGCATGCGATTGTTGAGGCCAGCCACTCCCCAAAATATCCCTTGAATGTTTGCACTGGTGCAACAATGCTCAACAATGTTCAACAATGTTCAAAAACATGCAACCGTCAAGCCATGTCGTCAAGCTATGTCACATTATGTCACTGTTGTATACTGTTGTAGTCTCTGCGAATGAGCCGCACGACTTGCAATGACTTGAGGTCTGTGGCTCCAGGCGAGGAGATTACCTTTTCCTACGTACCTTTGAAGGAGGCCCAATGTGTCGGAGCTGGAGCCAAATTGAGCCAAATTGAGCCAAATTGAGCCAAATTTAGCACTAGCCTCACAAAGACATGGATTTGTGATGATTTGTGATGATTTGTGATGTGCACTTTGCAACGTGCACTTTTGAAACGTGCACTTTGCACTTCATTTTGAGAGTCTCAACTTGTCTCTGTTCGAAGAGGATCCTGCTGCGTGGCCTGTAGAGAGACGGCAGGCATGGGCAAACTGCAAACCCACCGGGAATGTTCCCGCCATCATACCGCAGAAGGTTAGTTCCTGTAAAGCATTGTCTGAAGCTGGAATATTTGACTTCTGAAGAAGACAGTGTTTATGACCTCTGCTTCATGCAGCGAGAACTAGGAACATGAGGAATATTCACTTTTTGATTCTGCCAGGAGTTTCTCTCCAAGAGCTTTGGCTTCCGATGCAACTGTCATCGTTGCATTGAGGAAGCAGTGCCTGAAGTGCCGCGCTCCATCAACGGCTGCTTAAACTGCAGAAAAGCAACTACTTTCAGGATCCATCTTGGATGAAGCTTGCGAATTAAGTCTCATATCAGACTCATATCATTCAAAATGCCTTTTGACATGTTTGAACTTTCCTAACCTGAGTGATGAACTGGCTTGCCACCTCTTGAGGTGGCTGGCAGCCAAACATGATGATGCGTTGGGAGAGCACTGAGAGGATGGCCGATCCGTGAGTTTTGGTTGGGAGTGAGTCGACTCTACCAATTGCAGTATATAGATGCATATAGATGCATATAGCAGCTCAGCATCCCGGAAATTCCGAACTACCAGTTTTGCAATTGCACAGCTGTGGCATGGTTTGGCTATGACAAGGAGCTTGTTACTCTTGGTGTCCATAGACATCTCCGAGGCAAGGCCTTTATGGCAGCTTTGACAACGGTTGCTTTGAGAGGAAGACATTTCAGAACGCAGACTTGGCAGTTACCTTATCTAACTACTGCCGCCTGTCACTTGTCCTCCATCCTGCCTTGCTCCACATCGAACTGGATCGAACTGGTATTATTTGTTTCTCTATAAATTTTTCTTCTCCTTTCTTATCTGTTTTGTTCTTGACATTGATCTTTGGCGCAGAGTTTCACGCAGCTTTCCTGTTAGGTTTTGCCCTTGCGCCCCGACCAGCTCCAGTGCGACCTGGCAGCTCAGCATTTGCGCTTGCGTGCAGGTGACAATGAGGCCCACAGAAAACTGGGAACTCAGAGAAGACTCTGAGAAGACAGTCCTGCGCTGTCCTGCCTGCACTACGTTTTTGCCCGCAAACTCGCTAGATAGTTCGGGGTGTTCGGGGCATGTTCCGTCTTGTTCGTGACACTCATTGCTGTCCATCCATCCTGCCCAGTGCGCTTACCCAGGGTCCCAGACAGTGCCTTCAGATTTCCAGGCGCTGCTTACTCTTCCATGTCCCTGTGTTGAAGCTGCGACTGCAAGACTGGCACGCCGCCGGCTGCTGCTGACACTGAAGGCTGGGTAGCGTGTGCATGAATTGACACATGTTGGGAATAATTCTGCAATCGGGTCCGCAGATGTGAACATTTTGACTGAAAGTGAAGCAAGCTGGCTGATAGCACTCATCAGAACACTTCAGTTTTCCTCTTGTGCAGGAAAGTGAGGACGCAAGTTCAGGATATGCTTCCAGCCACAAAATGGATAGCTGCAGCTCCTGCTATGTCCTGCTGCAGTGTTCACAACTTCACAACCACAAAGTGTTGAAATTATGCCCAGTAGGGGCTCAGTAGGGTCCCGCCTCTCGTCAAAAGCTTCTGATCTCAACTTTACCTAAGGCCAAAGAAGAAGCCGCGCATAGTCTCGTAGGATTTCGTTTGAGAGCCTTGGACAATTCAAATGTCGCAGCTGAGTTTTTCTTGTGCGACGTATTGCATGAGTTTTTTCCAGTCCACCAACGTCCATTGAGTTATTTTCTCCAAGGATGCTACCTGGACATCCTCCAGAGCTACGTCCCCTCTTGTCGGCGGTTACCCTGGACTGTTTGTGCAGTTTGAATGTTTCATTAGTTCATTGATGTTCATTGATCTTCTGTTTCTTTCACATGTTTCTGAAAGATATATAGATATCAGATTTAACTTATTTTGATTTTCGTCAAATAGGACCCATGAACTGCAGCCAGGCGCGGGCATCGCAGACGACCGGAGAAAGAGATCCGTATCCATGTTGCGCAGATGCGGAAGGGAAACTCAAATGCCTCGCAAAAAAGTTGAAACTATCCATTTCATCCATACTTTTTCGTGCTTTCAGGATCTTTTTCAGGATGTTTCTCAGGATCTTTCAAGCATTTGGATCCCCTTTCATCGGCGCAAGCTAGCTAGCAGAGACTAGGTCCTGCTTGCTTCAGCAGGAGATTCATCACGGAGCCGCAGGAAAAAAGAAGAGATCAGCATTTGTTGGTATTATCACATATTATCACTATTATGTTTGATTTTTTGGTTACGCACGGTTTTTTATTTTTCATATTTAATACGTCTATTTAACATATTCTCATGTCATTTTTTTGAAACAGTCTCATTTGTATATCATTTTGAATATTATCAGTGAGAATTTATCACTGTTATTGTTGTTTATATTATATTTTTTCTTATTTTTATTGCATCATTGCTGTTGTCATTATTGTTGTTACCATTCGTGTATGTGTGTATATATATATATATATGCTGACCCATTTGGAACACCGCAGCCTTTGTCATCAAGGGAACTTTGCCTGTTCACTCTGTTGGTAGATCAGGCAGGGAAACTATGTGGGTTCTTCAGATAATTTTCTTGCAGCGTGTAGCGACTTGGCAGCCTTGCTGTTCTTGTTTTTACTTGGTACATCTGAGTTCATCTGAGTTCATCTGACTTCATCTGAGTATATCTGAGTTCTTGTTTTCTCATCTTGGATTTTTCCCAAAAGCATCTCGGATGCTTGGGTTCTTGTTTAGTTGCCTTTGCCGCGAGGGGAGCGGTACGGAAGCGACGACACGGTGGACGGAGGGGAAGCCGTGGGAAATAGCTTGGGGAGAGCTGCGTTGGGAAGGAGCGAGATGGAAGCGACGACAGGGTGGACGGAGGGGGAACCATGGGAAATAGCTTAGGGAGAGCTGCGTTGGGAAGGAGCGAGATGGAAGCGACGACAGGGCGGACGGAGGGGAAAGCGTGGGAAATAGCTTGGGGAGAGCCCCGTTGGGAAGGAGCGAGGTGGAAGCGACGACAGGGTGGACGGAGGGGAAGTCGTGGGAAATAGTTTGGGAAGAGCTCCGTTGGGAAGGAGCGAGATGGAAGCGACGACAGGGGAGCGAGGGGAAAGGAAGGGAAATAGCTTAGGGAGAGCAGCGTTGGGAAGGAGCGAGATGGAAGCGACGACAGGGTGGACGGAGGGGAAAGCGTGGGAAATAGCTTGGGGAGAGCTCCGTTGGGAAGGAGCAAGACGGAAGCGACGACAGGGTGGGAACGATACGGAAGCGACGACAAGGTGGACGGAGGGGAAAAAGGCTTGGGGAGAGCTCGGAGAGCTCCGTTGCGAAGGAGCGAGATGGAAGCAACGACAGGGTGGAGGGAGGGGAAAGGGTGGGAAATAGCTTGGGGAGAGCTCCGTTGGGAAGCAGCGGCAGGGTGGACGGAGGGGAAACCGTGGGAAATAGCTTAGGGAGAGCGCCGTTGGGAAGGAGCAAGATGGCAGCGATGACAGGGTGGACAGAGGGGAAGCCGTGGGAAATAGCTTGAGTAGAGCTCCGTTGGAAAGGAGCGAGATGGAAGCGACGACAGGGTGGACAGAGGGGAAGCCGTGGGAAATAGCTTGGGGAGAGCTCCGTTGCGAAGGAGCGAGATGGAAGTGACAACAGGGTTGACGGAGGGAAAAGCGTGGGAAATAGCTTGGGGAGAGCTCCGTTGGGAAGGAGCGAGATGGAAGCGACGACAGGGTGGACGGAGCGGAAGCCGTGGGAAATAGCTTGGCGTGTAAAGCTTCTGTGTGTAAAGCTCCTCTGTGCGTAAACGTTTTTTGTGTGTAAAAACTTTGTGTGCAAAAACTCCTCTGTGTAAAGACGTATCTGTGCAAACACGTCTGTGCGTAAAAGCTCCTCTGTGTAAGACTTCTCGGTGTAAAAAGCTTCTGTGTGTAAAAGTTTCTGTGTGTAAAAGCTTTCCTGTGTAAAAGTTTCCTTGTGCAAAAGCCTCTGTGTGTAAAACCTTCTCTGTGTAAAGGCTCTTTTGTGTAAAAGCTTCTGTGTGTAAAAGCTGCTCTGTGAAAAGTTTCAGTGCGCCGTAAACGCTTCTGTGTGTAAAAGCTTCTTTGTGTAAACGCGTCTGTGTGTAAAAGTTTCTGTGTGTAAATCTCCTTTGCGTAAGAAGGACTTCTCTGTGTAAAAGCTCCTCTGTGTATAGACTTCTCTGTGTAAAAGCTACTCTGCGTAAAAGCTTCTGTGTGTGGAGGCCTCTGTGTGTAAACGCATCTGTGTGTGGACACTCCTGTGTAAACGCGTCTGTGTGTAAAAGCTTCTGTGCGCAAAAGTTTCTGTATAAACGCTTTTTTGTGTAAAAACTCCTGTGTGTAAGAGCTTCTCTGTGTAAAGGCTTTCCCCGTGCAAAAGCTACTGTGTTTAAAAGCTTCCGTGTGTAAAGCTCTTCTGTGTGTAAGCGTTTCTGTGTGTAAAAACTGCTCTGTATGAAAGTTTCTTTGTGTAAAAGCGTCTGTGTAAAAGCTCCTCTGCGTGTACAAGCTTCTCTGTGTAAAAGCTCCTCTGTGTAAAGACTTCTCTGTGTCAAAGCCTCTGCGTGTACAAGCTTTTCCGTGAAAAGCTCCTCTGTGAAAAAGCTGCCCTGTGTAAAAAGCTTCTCTGTGTAAAAGCTTCTGTGTATGTGTGTGTGCAAGCTTCTCTGTGTCAAGACTACTCTGTATAAAAACTTCTTTGTGTAAAAGCTTCTGCGTGTAAAACCTTTCCTGAGTACAAAGGCTTCTCTGTGTAAAAGATTCTGTGTGTAAAGCCCTCCCTCTATACAAGCTTCTCTGTGTAAAAGATCCTCCGTGTAAAGCTCCTCTGTGTAAAGCTCCTCTGTGTAAAAGCTGCTCTGTGTAAAACCCCTGCCAACAGCTCCGCATTTTCAGTGCCGCTCCCTTCCAGCAGAGCTCTTCCCAAGCTATTCCCACCTGTCCGTTCACGCTGATGCATATCCTATGCTTGGGTTACCGTTTGAGAAGTCTTTGGCACCAGTTTTTCGGGACAATCGCGTTGATGGAATTTGTCCTGAAAAATCCGTGCCAACAGCTCTGCTCCTTTAAAGTCTCGCTCCCTGCCAACGAGGCTATGCCATGCATGTCCCATGGCCCAAGGTTTGGAAACTTTGGCAGGTCTTGGGCGCACAGTTTTTCGGAACAATCGTGTTGATGAAATTTGTCCTGAAAAACCCGTGCCAACAGCAGTGCATTTTTAGTGTCGCTCCCTGCCAACGAAGCTATGCATGTCCCATCGCTCAACGTTTGCAAACCGCTTGAAAAGTCATTGCGCCAGCAGGATGGTCCCGGAACTCTGTTCAAGCTATTAAGCTATTAGAAAAAGCTATTAAGATATTAAGCTACTAGAAAAAGCTATTAAGCTAGTAAGCTATTAGAAAAAGCTATTAAGCTATTAAGCCATTAAGCTATTAGAATAAGTGACTAATCTATTAAGCTATTAGAATAAGCGATTAAGCTATTAAGCTGTTAAGCTGTTAGAATAAGCGACTAAGCTATTAAGCTATTAGAACAAGCGATTAAGCTATTAAGCTGTTAGAATAAGCGATTAAGCTATTAAGCTATGAGAAAAAGCTATCAAGCTACATCTTGATCCAGTCCGCAGTGGATATGCGAGGAAAAATGTTTATTGTCGTGATTACGTTATTCTACGATGTCCACACTTCACCTCGCGCCCTCCCAACGGAACTCTCCCCAAGCTATGTCCCATGGTTTCCCCTCCGTCCAGCCTGTCGTCGCTTCCATCTCGCTCCCTCCCACGGAGCTCTGCCAGAAGCTTCTGCACGGGAAAGCCTTTACACCGAGAAGCTCTTACACACAGAAGCTTTTACACTCAGAAATTTTTACACAAAGAAGCCTTTACACAGAAACTTTTACACAGAAACTTTAACACACAGACGCGTTTAGACAGAGGAGTCTTGACACAAGGACGCGTTTACAAACAGAAGCATTTATGCACAGAAGCTTTTTACACCGAGAAGTCTTACACCGAGGAGCTTTTACGCACAGACGCGTTTACACAGAGAAGCCTTTACACAGAGGAGCTTTTGCACACAGAAGCCTTCTACGCACAGAACCTTTTGCACAAAGTAGCTTTTACCCAGAGAAGTCTTACACAGAGAAGCTTTTACGCACAGACGCGTTTAGACAGAGAAGTCTTTGCACAGAGGGGCCTTTACGCACAGACGCGTTTACACAGAGAAGTCTTTACACCGAGGAGCTTTTGCACACAGAATCTTGTACACACAGGCCCGTTCACACACAGAAGGTTTTACCCACAGACAACTTTACGGCGCGCAGAACTTTTACATAGACCAGCCTTTACGCAGCGAAGCTTGTACACACAGGGGAGCTTTTGCACACAGAAGCTTTTACAGAAGGTTTTTTTCTATACAGAAGCTTTTTCAGAATGTTTTTTCTATACAGAAGCTTTTACACACAGGAACTTTTACACAGAAGCTTTTGCACACAGAAACTTTTACACACAGAAGCTTTTACACACAGAAGCTTTTACAAAAAAAAGCCTTTACACAAAGGAGCTTTTACACACAGACGGGTTTGCACAGAGGAGTCTTTACACACGGAGGCGCTTACACAGGAAAGCTTTTACACACAGAAGCTTTTACACAGAGTAGTTTTTACACAGAGAAATCTTTACACAAAGAAATCTCGACACAGAGAAGCTTGCACACACAGAGGCTTTTACACAGAGAAGCCTTCTACACAGAGCAGCTTTTTCACAGAGGAACTTTTACACAGAGGAACTTTTGCGCAGAGAAGCTTGAACACTCAGAGGCTTTGGCGCAGAGAAGTCTTTTACACGGAGAAGCTTTTACACACAGAAGCATTTACACAAACAAAACCTGAACACAGAGGAGCTTTTACAGACAGAGGCTGGTACGCAAAGAAACTTTCACAAACACAAGCTTTTACAGACAGAGGGCGTTTTACACAGAAGCTTTTACACACAGAAGCTTTTACACAAAAGCCTTTACACAGAGAAGTTTTTACCCACAGGAGCTTTTACATACAGAAGCTTTTACGCAAAGAAACTTTTACACGCAGAAACTTTTACACACAGAAGCTTTTACACACAGAAGTTTTCCCACAAAAAACTTTTACACAGAGGAACTTTTACACAAAGAAACTTTGTACGCACAGACGCGTTTACACACAGTAGCTTTTACGATCTTTTACGCGTAGAAACTTTTGTACAGAGAAGTCTTTACCCATCTTTCATCATTTCTCATTTTTCATGATCATTCACCATCTGTCACCTTCAAATCTTCGTTTTCATGCTCTTTTGGTCAACTCCCTCCGTTGTTTAGTTTTCATTTCGCATGGTGTTCTGTCCATCGACGCTTCGTCCTCGCTCCCTCTGTGGCGAAGCAAACTAAACGAGAACCCAGGAATAAATAGCGACTAGAAAGATGGGATAGAGTTGATTACATTAGTAGAAATAACGACTAGAAGAATGTAGACGTAGCTGACACAGCATGCTGTGGTGAATTGTGGCCCCTCATACCATCAGTGCGCACGATGTTTCAGTAAAGATCTTACGTCGATTTCGCGCAGAGCACAGCTGCCCACACCACAAGATTGGAAAAAAAGGCGTGCTGTGCGCCGTCTTGCTTTTGGGTTCTCTGGCCCACCTTGTTTTCAGATCAACCTAAAGGGCATTGAAAAGACGCCAGGTTGGACAAGGCCTTCGCCATGTCTCAGCCTGACAGCCGAGCAAGGGCAAAGTCCATTGGTCACTACATTTTAGGCGTCTGGGATGTGGGTAGAGGGAGCAAAGCGGTCAAAGTCGGTAGACAAACCAAAAGGGAGGCCCTAAGTGAAATAAGATGAAAGGAGAGTACCCAGATGGTGACAGAGGCATACCAAGATAATCTGGCAGGTTTTTTCTTCGCATTTTAGAAAGGGGCACAGGGCAGCGAAATAGGGGCAGCACATGTGTTGCAAGATATTGGTTTCAACCATTTTTTTTAGTTGGAAAAATTCACTTCTCTACCCCAAATCCTTGAGGGCAGATCATGTCGTGTTTTATTTTCTTCCAGCTGACAACCAGTGATGTGAGGATAGCTCTGTGGCAGGAAAAACAATTGGAGAGGGCACTTTCGGAAAAGCACCTTGGCAGCACGTATGCATAACCTCTAGATATCATCCAACTCCAAGAAATCCTAGCACTGTACCATTTGCTTGTGGCTTCAGGTCAAGCTTGGCACGCACATCTTGACCAGCGAACGTGTCGCTGTTAAGGTGAGCCATGGCCCTGTGTCTTTGTCCACTTTATTGAAATTCCCTTTGGCCTTTCTCTCTTTTCAACTCAATCCTAGATAGGGCAATGGCGAACAATCTCGAAGAGTCATGTAGAGAGATGTAGAATCTTAATGAATATTATGTAAAATACAGAAGAATTCAATCTATTTCGGTTCTCCTTTCCAGGGGAATTTTGATCATGAACAGATGGATGTTATTGGATGTTGGTGGAGTACCGGGTGAAGCCGCTGTCAGATCCTCGAGAAGGAGAGGATTGTCGAAGTTGCAGATGTGGAGCGGGTTGCGCGTGAGGCTTGTCGGGAATACTGAGTAGCCACATTTTCTGAGTCTCCATTTGGACCTTTAGCTGCTTGACCTTCATAATTTGGGCATTTCCTTTCTATTGGTATTTTGTGATTGCACGTATCAATTATCAACTCAGACGATGGAAGGTGCACATTTTGAAGCTCATCCGGCACCCGCACATTGTTGTGAGCTGAGAACGGCAGTGAAGGGATATTCAAGACTTGCAAAATAACTCGCTCCGGTGCTCGGAAAGGGATATTGAATGGATACCGTGATCTCCATTGGAACACAAAAAGAGAGGTGATGAAAGTTGGCTGCTTGAGCTTTTGCAAGGTTCAGCTGTATGAAATCATTGAGACGCGCCGTCAACTATATCTTATTATGGAGTGACCCATTTTGGTGATCATGTTGTTTGTTTTAAAGAATATGCTGATACCAAGCAACAGTGTTCTTCCCAGGTACGCGAGTGGTGGAGAGCTGTTTGACTACATTGTCACGAAAGGGCGCGTGCCGGAATTGGAGGCAGAGTTTGGGTCTCCAAGCCATGGGTGGACGTGGATATACGTGGATATTTTCCGTTTATTTGAACACAAGGACCACATTGCATCATGGCTTTGCTGTTACTTGAGTGTGATTTTGCCAGGATGGGCACGTTGCGTGAATGGAAAATCAATGTGAATCATGTCAAATGAGTAAGACAGTGCTTCTGAACTACTCATGTGCTCCATACAATGTCCTTTGGGAAGCAAAGACCCAGTCTCTGAAGGTAGATCAACACTTCACAAGCTTGAACCCCACTCGGATCAGTGCAGAGCAGAGTAGAGCACAGGGGAGAGTCCCTGTAGAATGGAACAGCTTGGAGCACCACTTGAAACATCTTGAAACTGCCTGCGGAAGGCATGCCGCTTCTTCCATCAGATCATTGCCGGCTTGGAGAAGGCGCCGCACTCCTTCCACCTCTACCAGATCTGAGATATATCATTACAACTCATTAAAAACGTTAAAACTGATTGCAACTCATTATAAATTATACAGGTTCTTCTCAGCCATCTTCACATGGACAGAGGGAAGACAAAGGCAGGACAAAGGCAGGACAAAGACAAGATAAAGACAGGACAGGACAAGACAACACAGTTCACTTATTCCATACCATACCACAGCATACCAACATGTACTGTACTACAAACCACACAGCGCTACACTATACATGGCAAGATAATACAAGACAGGCAAATGCGATGAAATGCATGTACTATAGTATAGACTAGACTTTGTTTTCAAACATGTACAGACAGTATCGCAGAATTTATCTTGAGCTCTCCTTACCCAACGCCCGTGCTGGCTAAGCGCAGCACTGCACAGTGCCACATTGCTACTTCAGGTTCACGCCATGAACATCGTGCACCGGGACCTGAAGTCGTGGCCTCTGCTTTCCTTCTGTTAAAAAAAGTGGTTCGAGTTTTGCTGAGAAAGACTGTAAAGATTAGTACGTCTGTATGTGTGAGAGTGAAGCGTGATTTTTTTAATCTTTGTACCTCGATGTTCATGTCATCTTTGTACATGTGAAAGGCCCGAGAATCTCCTCCTTGACGAGCACAAAAATATCAAGATTGTTGACTTCGGCCTGAGCAACGTTTTCAGGCAACCCATCAAAAGCCGACAGAGTGCAAATGCGCAGCCTGCAAAAACATAGGCTTGTTTCTTCCAGGGACACTTTTGCCTTGACTGAGTCCCTCAGCCCGTATTCCAGTGGGAGTCCGTTGTTTTGCTGGTGGCTCTGAAAGGTCTTGTCATGTTTTATACATGCCGATTGAAGGCATGATTTATGTATTTGGCTCAAATTTACATAACTAGGATTCTAAGATCCAAATCGTGTTGTCACACTCTGACCTGATCCGAATGAAGCGTCAAATAGTTAAATAGTCCAAACTTGCTTTCTTTGCTAAATGTTGGAAGGTCCCTTCGCTGGCAGGCAGGGGCAGCTCCTCAAAACTGCCTGTGGCTCTCCATGCTACGCAGCACCCGAAATGATTGCAGGCACGGGTCGGACGTCTGGAATTGTACCAGCAAGGATCAAACCCAGCCAGCGATGCCACCAGTCTTGCAGATGTTGTAATGGTTGTAATGGTTGATGTCAAAGGGTATAGCTGTATAGCAATTCAGCTTCACAGGCTCCTGAGCTGTTTAATGTTTTTCCTCTATGTGAGTACCAGGTCACAGTTATGCGCAAATCTCAGTTTAGCGTGGATGCTGCATGCGTGCATGCATTGCTCTTCCTCGGACATGATGCGGCAGTGGCTGACTTGCTCAGGTGCCGCACCTTTGTGATTTATGGAGTTGTGGCGTAATTCTTTTTGCGCTTGTTTGTGGATATTTGCCTTTTGAGGACTGAAAAGTGGGAAGGCTAGCGGTTGGACCTAACTGAGTTTCATAGTGCATTGGCCATGCATTGGCGCCTGATTGAATGCCATGTAGAGCAGTCCGAGTTTGCAGGATCAAAATACCTCTGCTTTGTACAAGAAAATTCTGGCTGCGGACTACAAAACGCCCAAGTTCATCAGTGAGGTGGGTTGCATGCATTCTGCGCATGCAGTCCACCTCGAAGTGTAGAAACCCAATAAACCCAATGAAACTTAAGACATCTTAAGACTCCTCTCTTCATCACTTAGTGCTGCAGCTGCTACAGGCCGTGCGTGACCTCATCGCGAGGCTGCTCACCACGGACCCCACGCGTCGCTACAACGTTCCAGATGTGCGTGCGCACCCTTGGTCTGGACCTGAGCTGGAAATTGCTGGAAATGGAACGGGGAGAGTCAACAGATCAATAGAAATCAATAGAAATCAATAGAAATCAATCTGTGCTCAGGGCCCCCCCAATGCTGTGCTGTCCATCGTGTGGTTCTGTTGTTTTGGGCCTGAGGGCTCAGAGTCTAGAATTGATCATCATTCCAAAAGACTTAAATTTTGGGATCCACCTACTTTCTTCGGCGTACGGCAAGTCAAGATAATCCCAGGCCCACCAATCCAACCCGCAGAGTTTTTTGTCATTTCAAGAGAAGTTATCAAAGTGCTGAAACAATTTGGGGAGAAGTTTACGCGCACACACAGACATGCGCATAATCTTCGATAATGCTTGCATACATGCACTATGCATTTTTTCTTAAATCTATCTGTGTATCTATCTGTTTATCTATTTGTGTATCTATCTGTTTATCTATTTGTTTATATATTTGTTTATCTATATGTTAATCTATCTGTTTATCTATCTGTTAATCTATCTGTTTATCTTTTTGCCTATCTGTATGTTTGTCTTTTTGTCTATCTGTATGTTTGTCTATCTGTTTTTATCTATCTATAGTCTTCAATCCTATATTTGATCCTATATCTGATCTTACATTTGATCTTATACCTGATCTGATCTTTGATCTGATCTGATCTTATTTATCTGTGCATCTATCTTTCTTTCTATCTGTCTGTCTGACTGTCTATCTATTTATCTATCTTTCTATCTGTCCATCTACCTATCAAATCTATCAATCAATCCGTCAATCTGTCTATCTATCTATCGATCGATTGTATCCATCTATCCATCCCTCCCTCGACTCCGTATACTGGAGAAGAAAAGCAACACCCTTGTGCCCCCTATGGAGTTGAGCGGTCAGACGACTTTCTCTCTCTTTCTCTCCCTTTCTCCATCATGACCCCCTTTTTTCCAGTCACCCCCAGCATGGCAAGGGACGGCATGTGAAGATAGTCTGCTCTAGTCTGCTTGCATTTTGAATTATCCATGCCACAGGAGTCACGAGAGGAGCATTCTTTCCCTGTTTGAAAATCATGTTTGCAGCAACGTTGCTAACATTGCTCAGGTATTGCCAAATTCCAGAGGCTTCTACACCAGTTCCAGATGATAGAGTGGAACAAGGCCTCGGAACACGATTTGATATGAGTCATGAGATTCTTGCGGGTTGAATTTGCATGCAGTTGCATCCATGTTGTGAGAGATCTGCATCATTTTGTGGTGTGTTAGGAAGAGTCAGAATTCATTTTTACTAAGCCGCATGATGTATGATTACCATGTTTTCTTTGTCGCGCGAAACGAGGCGAGAAGCAAGAACACAAGCTGGAGGAGGACCTTGACACACACACACATGGACTCTGGACATGCGTAAAAAACGTATTAATTTTAGCACCGGCATGAGTTGTCTATTTGTTGCTCAAGTGTCTCGAGTGGAAAGATAGCCATCCTGTGCTGTGGATAGAGGTGACATGATACGATTTCTGTGGCTTCCTGAAGGAGGAGCAATGTACAGGACTTTTTTCTCTCAGAGTCATAGAGTCATAGTCCAACTATTGCAACGCTTGACAGTTTGAAGCCCGCATAAATTTCTTGATGATCTTATTTGTCATTTTTTTTTGATTTTCACACACCTTTGACAATTTTGACAGAGATCTCTCAAGTGACAACCAGCCGCCGGGCGGATGGCTGTGCCCCTTATGTGTCTCCATGAAGGTGCACACGTTATGCACAGCTTAGAACATGACCCAAAAACAGCTGATTGGATTTGTACAACATGTACTTCAAGTGTACTTCAAGTGTACTTCGGGTATGGTGTACCTAGATGTACCTAGCAGACTTAGCAAACTATAGCATACTTAGCACAACATGTGCATCATTGTGACATGTGCATCAAGTGCATCCAGTGCATCCAGCCCAGCCGCCATTGGCTGTGCCGTTGGCTGTGCCATGTTGTGCCAGGTGCCCGGAGAAGATGGAGCCGAGACTGAAGAGGTCCCCAGCAACTCGCAGTGACTTGCAGCGTACGTCGAAACATGTCGAAATAACATGAAATAACTACTACATACACTGTATACAGAGACATCAGAGACTCATATATACAGAGACTCATACAGTTCTTCAATACACTCCATGCTGCTCAGACTTCTCAGATCTATTCAGATTTCTAGTTGTATTTGGGTTGGACTTGGACAAGGCTGCTGAGCTCAAGAAACAGGGGAATGCTGCTTACGCTCAAAACGACATTGAGGCTGGCACCTCCAGGTAGCTCGCAGCGTTCTCATAAATCTAGCAGTGTGTTCTTTTAGATAAAGGGCACACTGCTTTGCAACTCGGGATGTGAGAGGCTGGCGCTAATATGTTCTAATGTTGACATCGACTTTTGAGCTCCACTGGCTCCACTCTAGGTTTGTTGCTGCTCCACATCTTTCACCGCCAGCACTGCAGCTTACGCAGGAGGCTGTACGGCTTTGGAATCGAGCCATCCGGAAGCATGTGCAGGTGGGGAACTGACAATCTCCGAAGGCTGCCTTCAGGGAGAAAACAGAGGATGCTTCGACATATGACAGCCCCTAAGCAATGCAATTGATGCAACTGGAAAACACTCATTTTGATTGAGCCTTTTGAAGGGAGGGCTAATTATTTTAGGATTTTTTTTTTGATCAGGTTTAGGAATTATTTTTGGATTCCTGCTTCTCTGCTTTTCCTGCTTTTCCTGCTTCTCTGCTTTCCTGCTTTTCCTGCTTTTCCTGCTTTTCCTGCTTTTCCTGCTTTTCTGCTTTTTTGCTTTTCTGCTTCTCCTGCTTCTCGCCTTTTCTGCTTTTTTGCTTTTCTGCTTCTCCTGCTTCTCTGCTTTTCTGCTTTTTTGCTTTTCTGTTTTTCCTGTTTCTTTGCTTCTCTGCTTTTCCTGCTTTTCTCTGCTTTTCCTGCTTTTCCTGCTTCTTGCTTCTCTGCTTTTCTGCTTTTCCTGCTTCTTTGCCTTTCTGCTGTTTTGCTTTTGTGCGTTTCCTGTTTCTTTGCTTCTCTGCTTTTTTGCTTCTCTGCTTTTTTTTTGCTTTGCCTGCTTTAAATACTTGATTTTCATGTAAGATGCATTTTGCACAGTATTTACATCCCTGAGTATCACATGACCAACCTTCTCTTGAAAACTTGCAACGTAACATGTGAGAAGAGGTGCTTGCATTCTGCTTTGGGGGGAGGCGCTGCGCCCTCCCCAATCCCCCCCTCCCGCTTTTTTTTTTAATTTAAACTTAAACCCAAGTTACATTAGTTGGTTTTTGCGAACTAACCTTCTCTGGAAAGCTGACAGGATTACATGTGATAGATAGATAGATAGATAGATAGATAGATAGATAGACAGATAGATAGATAGATAGATAGCTGGATAGATAGATAGCTTGGTAGATAGATAGCTAGATAGATAGATAGCCAGCTAGATAGATAGATAGCTAGAGAGATAGATAGCTAGATACCTGGATAGATAGATGGCTAGATAGATAGCTAGATAGATAGATAGCTAGATAGATAGCTAGCTAGATAGATAAAGAGGTAGCTAGATAGATAGCTAGCTAGATAGATAAAGAGGTAGCTAGATAGATAGCTAGATAGATAGATAGATAGATAGCTAAATAGATAGGCAGATAGTTAGCCAGATAGATAGATAGCTAGATAGATAGCTCGTTAGCTAGATAGCTGGATAGACAGCTGGATGGCTAAATAGATAGATAGCTAGATAGATAGAAAGCTAGATAACTAGATAGCTAGATAGATAGTTAGCTAGATAGCTCGATAGCTAGATAGCTGGATAGACAGCTGGATGGCTAGATAGATAGATAGCTAGATAGATAGAAAGCTAGATAGCTAGATAGCTAGATAGATAGTTAGCTAGATAGCTAGATAGGTAGATAGCTAGATAGCTAGCAAGATAGCTAGCTAGATAGGTAGATAGATAGATAGATAGATAACTTGCTAGATAGATAGCTAGCTTGCTAGATAGATAGCTAGCTATAGCTAGCTAGCTGGATAGATAGCTAGCGCCCTCCCTCAATCCCCCCCACCCGCTTTTTATCTAATCCCAAGCTTCTGCATCTGTAAATATTTGGGTGAACATGCTCACATGTAGAACATCCCATGCAAAATGGAAGGTGAACATGCCAAAATGTGGCAAATACCATACAAAATGGAAGGTGAACATGCCCACATGTAGTAAATCCCATGCAAAATGGAAGGTGAACATGCCCAAATGTGGCAAATACCATGCAAAATGACAAATTCAAGTTCCAAACCGTTGCAAACACTAAGCAAATGGTACCAGCCAAGAAATCCAAAAAAAAATCCCAAACCTGCTGAAAAAAAAATCCTAAAACTATTTCACACCCGTATCTCAGCACATGATTCATTTACTTGTGACAGGAGCTTTCAGACGGAAAGTCCTGCGATGAGGAGCATTCTGTGTCAAAAGATGACAGCCACACGCTTCGAGTCCAGCGGTCGCTGAAATCACATCAAGTGATTCCTCGTGATTCCTCCCAAGTTCTCCTCAGCCATCTAATCTGCGCTTCTATTCAGGCTTCTTGATGGTTTCTCGTCGTATTCTCGGTGTGAACATATGAATACATTGGATACATCTCTGCAAGCCCTGGACGGGAGAGTGTGCAGGAAGCTACAATGCTAGAAAAGTCAATTTATCTCAATCTGGTGGGCGGCTTAGATCAGATTGATCTTACAAAGCTCTTGTATGCAATGCACGAATTCACTACTTCCATACTGCGATGCTTAATATTTCAAGACAGAATTTTAATATACAGTCCCTTAAATTTCTGTCTTATTCCGTCTTGCTTCTTGCGTCTTCCTATTCTGCCTGGATTCAGAATTTTCTCACGCTCAAGGCACAGGGCTATTTGAAGCTTGGTGATGGCGAACGAGCCCTTCGAGCTTGTAAGGCGCCAAGTGGGCACTGTGGTAGTCTGGGGATGTCTTGGGGATGTCAATTTGTCTAGAGATGTCCTAACAGTCTGCCAACTGTGCCATACCGTGCTAACTTTTGACTTTGAAGCTTCAGCCACTTCAGCGTCAACAAATGTACAGGCGGATATGTCAGGGTGATGCCATGCAACTTTGTTGAGACTGAGTCACGGGGTTCGAAGCAGAAGGCTAGAGGTGAACCAGCAGTCCTCACAAGTGAAAGCACTTTCAAGCCGTTGACTTGGGAAAGAGATGGAAAGAGTGCGAGAGAGGAACCAGTTCAGAATCAATTCTCGAGTTCCATCATGATCCATCCCTGATTTTCCAAACTGTTTTTTTGGGCGAGTTTCATCGTTTCTAGTCATTCTAAGTCTTTGAATCTCAGGTTTGCCCACCTGGCAGGTGGTGCTGTATACAGACCAACAGAATGCAAAAGCAAGATATCGAGCAGCTGAAGCCTGTGCACAGCAAACGCCTCGGACCAGTACAAAATGAATAGAATCTCCAATAGAATCTCTAATAGAATCCAATTAAGTATTGGAATCTTGATTTTATCAGCCTTTTATCCAGAGCTCTCCCGGATCATGAGCGTCTTTGAGCGAAATCGAGTGGATCAGATTCGTATAGTTCTACTTTGCACAGATCAGACTTTGAGATCAGCTTTCAAATACCCTGATGTGAAAACCTAGAAAGTACATGAAAGTACCCAGTACCATGAAGTACCCCATTTCAGGCAATTTCCAATACTAGTGCAGCAGTAGCAACCGACAGGAATCTCCAACTGGAATCGACTTAAATCGACTGCAACCATTGACATATCCTGTGACTCTCTTTGGACATAACATATCGGACATTTACGGCCCGACCATATCCATGAGGCTGGAGCGCTTTGACGAAGCGGAGCAGCTGTTGTCCCAACTCGAGCTGCCGGAGGACAAGATAGGGCCAGATTGGGCAGTGGCAGCAGGGGACTAGGCAATTGTAGCAGGGTTATAGTCATAATTATAGCATGTTATAGCTATCATCAGGTTTATAATGGTTTGCCAATTTCTGCCACACTTCCCACACTTGCCACAGATTCCATCAGATTGCATTGGAACATCGCTCTTCAGTGGCTCTTCAGAATTTTGTCTTGGAAGGCATCTAAATTGCTGCAGAGAATCCAAGCCAAGCGGCAAGCACAAGTGACTGGGCCGAAGTTGCACTGCTGAAACCGTGATCCAACTAATCCAACTCCGTGCCACAGCAAGTCACCACAGCAAGTCACCACTATGTCACTATGTGTGTCTTCGGCATCTTCGATTCACCAAGGCTGCCAAAGATAGTAAACAGGAAGCTGCTGCAAGGAAGAAGCTGGCTGCGAAGATGAGTGTGACCTGGGACATTGATGCAATTTGATGCAGTTCAATGCAGTTTATTGAGGTAGAGAATGGTGTAGAGAATGGTGTAGAGGATGGTAGAGGATGGTAGAGGTTCATGCTGCATGATGGTATGTCATTTTCAGCTGTTTGTGGCTACTGGACTGGGTTTTGCCCCTCTACAGTACGCGTTAGTTTTGCAGTATTTGTTATTCAATGTTGAGTTGAGTAAGACATGCATCAATAACTTCACCCCTTCATTAAACAAGGGGCCACACAGTGAAAATTAGCACAAATATAGCCGCAGAAATCCGCAGAACACCCGCGTATTAAAAACTTACTGTACAGCCAATACAAGCACAAGAATGCATTACAAGCAACTTGCAAACATTTTCCTCACTTTTCCCTGCAGTCCCCCGGAATCCCCCTTTCGCGTTTGACCACATTTTCACCAATTTTGTCTCCTTCCCCAAGATTCTCAGGCTGGCCTTGCAGGTTTCTCTGAGGACAAACCTGAACCGGTTCCACAGGCAAGAGGGGAGTATCCTCGGTAAGAAGTGCAAGAAAGGACATCAATAAGGTGTAGATAACAAAGATTCGCAAAGATAATGATGTTATACAGATGCATACGCATATAAACACAGGTGGATCTATACCCACATACTCAGAACATCTCATAACCTATTCCTGAATGCTTTCAGTCACAATGCAGCTCGCTTCATTTCTAAGGTTGAACAGTATATTGCTTAGTACATTTTTACATGGACTCTGTAGAGCTTTTGTGAAAGCCGACGCCGTAGTATTTTTTTGCCTTCAGGAGGCACTAAGGGCACCCATGGCAGTACTGGGCTCAGACTCTTACAGCGCTGCATAGTTGTCGTGCTGTGATGGGGAGATACAACATGATACACCAACTTTTCAAAGGCTCCTGTTCCACAATCTTCCACAACTGCAGACGTCACACATCGTCACACTGTGTCACACCATGCCCTCCCAGCCCTGACAGCACAGCTTTTTCTTTCTGAGGACCTGGGTACAGTTTCAAACATGACTGATGTGTCTGTGGAAGCCGCAGAGGTCCCCAGCCACTTCAATGCCTTCAATACCTTCAATGCCTTCAATGCTCAATGCAAACATATCAAACATCCAATTTTCTGAGAGCCTCAATTGCTTGTGACCTCTGTTGGCAAGCATTGGGATACATTTATCTATCATTTATCTATCATTATCTATGTGGGGGTCCTGCAATTGCATGTGTCTTGTGTCAAAATGGGAAATCTACGAATCATTGCCTTTGCCAGGCAGCCAAGAACCGCCTGGCACGCCTAGAAGCTGCCGCTGCAGGCTACACCTGTACCAGCTGAGGATTGTGCAGCTAATTGACCAATTGATGCCATGCAGGACAGCTCTGCGTCCATCCCGAAAAGCTGGCGAGTCCAACTTATGAAATGAGTGATTGCAGCTGGCATGACTGCTCAACAGGGGAAAGACCTTTGCCTGAGCCCACCTACACAGACTTTGAGTCCTTTCGTGCGAAGGCTACAACGGGACACACAAAATGATTTTAATTTTACAAATTGAAGACGCAGCAAGAGGTGTATTGAAAATTATTGAGACACATTGAAACATGATTTACAGCATGCTTCCACTGTCTGTGGCAGGCCATGAAACGATCCCAGTGCTGCCGGCCAGAATTTTCTACTTGGGGTTGCTTGCTGTTGAATGGTTCAGCATTTCAGCAAAAACAGCAGACACCCAGGACTTACACTATGGCGGCAGAACGAAGCCGCAAGCAAACTGAGGCTAGTGCTTGAGGACTATTGAAAACATGCGTTTCAGTGGGCATTTCACGGCATTGCCATTCCGAGCACGTTTGCCAAAGATGGGCTTAAGGCATCTCAGCGTTCTGTGCGACTCGACTGGCTGTGCATCTCCCAGATTTTCTGCAGTGACCTTTGCGGCTTGAAGTAGATGTAGACTTAGACATATAGACATACTCTTGTACTGGTACGAATTGTACTGTAGCAGCTTGTAGCAACATCCAACACGCAGAAGAACACCATATTCTTGGAGCATTGTTGTGCTTGTTTGCCACTAAACTCTTGCCGCTCAGCAGTTTACTTGTTGAGCATTTTGACATCTAGAACTACGGGTGCCACATCCACTGACACCACCATCTACAGTATCTCTTCAAAGGGCTCAACTTTGCAGATATTATACTTGTGACATATTGTGACAGAGGTGCGCAGATGAGTTCTGAGGCGTCAGGGCCATACAGGCCACTTGGAAGACTTCACTTCTGTCCTGGAAGAGGAGCTTCATGACATTCAGGCTGGGATGTCATCACTGTAGATCACACTTGTACATTGTATAACTCTTGTAATCGTGGACTATCGTGGACTCTTCAAACTGGAGACTGTCATTTGCATTGAGAGTTGAGTTGCGTAAAGCTGACCGTCTCGGAATGGTCTGAGGCGCAAGAAGCCGAACAAAAGCAAGCAGAATGCGATGATCTGGTTGGCACAGGCCGTTGTTTTGACCTTCCGACTTGCTAGCGAACTGCAGACTTCTTTCTTGATGAGCATTCGCTTAGAAACATTTTCTTGGCTCCAGGAAGTGCAGACATGGATGACATGGACGAGATGGATTGACATCAAGCTGGGTCCACGTGTGGTTCGAGCAGACTGCCGGGCATTTGAGCCATTGTTGGACTTGTGAATCTATCATTTCTTGAGTACATAGTGAGCCCTCGAGCTGCGCGCAGCGTATCGCAGCAGCATATCGCAGCAGCGTATCGCAGTTTCAAGACGCAAAACGCTCAAAGAACGCTCGATGCTGTTGTCAGCGATGCTGTCCTTTGCCCGAGATGCTCAAAGTAGCGCGGGTCTGGATCTGGCTGTGAGACAAGGAAAACTGTGCAGGAGGAATTTTGACATCGGATAGTAAGTGCATTGCATTGAAGGCTTGATTTTACCATCTTGAAGTCATACAGTACTGCAGTCTCCAAGGTAAGCAGGTACATGATACATGGTCAGGACATGCAAAAAGAAAGCCACTTTCAAGCTAGTTGATCAGTAGCACTCTTTTGATCTGAAGAACACCCTCGGTATTTCTGTTTCTTATCACTGAACGGTGAATTGGCGGCTTTCAATGGATACGTATGACAAGACACGCACGAAGAAGTCTATAGGGCTTTCCGGGCTTCATACTGGAGAATGGACACACAGTTTCACACCTGCACAATTTTCGACTTTCAGCATTGCTTTGGGGTTCAGCCATACGAAACACATGTAATGTAGCAGACGATTTCATGGTGGCAATGCTATTTCTGCCTTTTCCCCTGTCAAAGCAACAAGGACGTTTTGACCGACTTGGATGCTTTTGGGTTTCCACGTGACTATGCTGTGCTCGGCTTAGGAAGATACTTTGGCACTTGCAGCAAGTTTTTATCTCTTAGCTCTGCAAGTTTTGTTGATGTCCAACAATGTCCTGACGGTCCTGACCAAATATGAGTGGAGAGTTCGGTGCAGACACCTGTCAGAAATGGTCATGTAAGGTGCGGTGCTTGCAGCTCAATAAGCACAACCACGTGACTACCACGTGACCATAAATATCAGCGGCAATGTTGGCCCTAGTCGACGTTGCAAAACAGCATGATGTTTAATTAAGGACTTCCTCTGACAGATGCAAGGGTGTCTACTGGGGGTGTCTACTGGGGGTGTATACTGGATGGCGTGTTGGATGGTGCCATGGTGCTGCTCTGTATTTCTATAATTTTCAACATGTTTTGCCCAGATTTGGGCTCGAATGCAACATCAGTATTGAAATGTATTGAATATCATATGAATATCATATTAACATCATATGAATATCATATGAATATCATATGAAATATGAAAAACATATGAGTGTGATTCCCAGGCTCATGGTTGGCGCAAATTGCTGTCCAGGTACTACCTCCTCTCGGAAAAGAAACGCCGATTGATGGAACGACTCAAGACCCTTTCCAAGGTCCCGCCCACACGCCCTGCTTTGGATGTGAGTTTGTGTGGAGTAGAGCAGTCAGAGCCGGTTGTAGTGAAATGTGAAAGAGGAGCTGTAGCAGACAGAGTTGATTCGTGTCAATCATGGTGTTTGCAATCATTTGTCTATATAATGATATATAATGCATTTCGTCAATCAATTGGTTCAAAAGTCGCTCGATTGAGCGGCTTTGAGCATTCCTTTTCGTAGGCTTGGAGTTGACCACACACCTGCATCAATGGACAGTTTCACGATGGGCTTTTGAGAGCCTCCCCAAACCCAGGTTTTTCTGTAACACATCACTGCGCTTTATCAATTTCCTTTCCACAAGATGCCGCCCACCATGCAGAGCACAACACGCAGCAAACGCAAGAGCTGCAAGACTGAAAAGGACACTCTGCACAACCTTGCATAGCGCGGCGCAACGCAGCATACCACAGCACAGCGCACTACGACACAACACGATTCTGCACAGCTCCACATAGTCCAGGACAAAAGATGGCAAAAAACAACGCAACAGCTTCAGAAGGAGCTTTGTTGATTTTGTTGCTGGAAGGCTGGAATACACATTTTTTGTGGAAGTACGGCAAATTCCACATGTCTTATGGGCTGCTTAAAGAGTCTGCTGTTGCGACCATTTGCCTCCGAGACATCCGAGACAACCCCCCAACTGAACAAGACAAGCCACGCACGATTGCTTTAACCCCAGGCCCAGACCTTCTTTCAGCTTCTGATCAGTACCGGTAGTCTACAAGAGTTCAAGGTTTTGTCCGTACTTCATTTTTCCGAATTCTTCAAACAAGTTTCTCTCTGCCCTCAGGTCTTTTGTGTTCCACATGCATTTGCTGCCTTGGCGAGGATTTGAACGCCAACCCGCCAACACTTCCTTTGCCTTCTCATTGTTTGCTTGGGTCCAGCGACAGGCAATGTCACAGGGAGGCATAGCAATTCTCCCGCAGCAATGCTTTTCTATTCTAGCCAGCAAAAAATAATTTGTGCATGGCTGCATGGCAGGCTTATTTCTGCATAGATCCCAAGAGACGCGAACGATTACTTGTTGTTTTGGTTCTACCCATCATTCGGGGATACTTTGAGCTTCCTGGGCCTGTCAAATTTCTCTGCACCTTTATGCGTCACACGCGCCTTCACATGCCTGTTCGACATTTTGGGAAGTTTGGAGATAATCTGCACCTGCAATCCCCAAAGCAGCACATAATGCGAGTGGGAGAGCACTTGGTGCCCAGAGGTCTGAACCCCTCCAAAATAATGATTAGGAATGCTTCGTAATGCTTAGGACCTTAGGAAGCACCTACATCATTGGCATCATTTGCTGGCAGTTTGCAGCAGATGTGCCAAAGTGATGAAAAGGATCCGGCATGCTGCTTTGTTCTTTGCTCGCCGCAGTCATGAAAGCAACACCGACTTGGGACAGAAGTGCATAGTGGAATCTAGCATGGAATTTCTTGACCAAACCTGAAAGAACTGTCATAGCACAAGTGGCACTAGCATTGACTGTGCTTAGTTTTTCAGAATCTCATGGCAGCGCAGGGAGAGCTTGGTGCTGTCGATACATGCCAGACTCTCGTTGTTTTGAGTACTAAAAAACACCCGAAGGCACTTGGAAGCTTTCATCTATGACCTATGGCCTATGACAGATGTTTGCACGACAACATTGGCAAGTACATGTTCTTCAATTCTTCAATGATCTTGAGTCTATGTTGGTGAAAGTTGGGACCGAGATCCATGTCTAAGGCAATTTCGCACCAGGTGGAGATGCAGCCGCGGGGACTGTCTTGGTCCCAAGCTGTCGGGTGCAGTTGTGACTTGCTCTCTTCGGCTGTGTCGACACGTGTCGATGTCTCTGGGAGCTCTGGAAGGCCTAAGGCCTAAGGAATCTAAAACGAAAGGCAACCTTTGCAGCTTCACTTCGAGGCAGCCTCTTCCAGTGCTGTCAGTGCTGCCAGCCCTGTGGTGCCAAAGTTCCACACTCAGCTCGTGGGATTCAGGTTGCTTCCATCAGCCAACCAATCCCACCACGACCAATCTGAGGCCTGCATCCACACCAGTCCAACCAGTCCAACCAGTCCAACCAGTCCAACCAGTCCAACCAGTGCAACCAGTCCAACCAATGCAACCTTCCAGTGGCATTCTGAGATAGTGTAACGTTGCGCAACGTGTCATGTTCTGCAGGAACGTTCTGCACAATCATGGCATCTTGACATTTTGATGTCACGCTAAGGTGCTAGTACCCCCAGTACCGCCGCTCGACCAGCTGCTGTACGCAGGAGCTTTGGGCCGGAAGGCTAAATTTGGGTGATGTAGATGAGCCTCCCGTAAATCTCAAGAAAAGCTCAGTGACCTTGCAGAGTGAGGAAAGGCCATTGGAGCAAGACGCTAGGATTCTACAAATTCATCCATGAGGTCATGGTATCTTATTCTGCAACGCACTCTGTGGTCAAACCTGCGGCGCAAGTATTGTGTTTACGATCGATTTTCCACAAATTACTTTACTTCGAGTTATCCCCACCATGACATCTATACGGTCTATACGTTTTGTTACTGGCAAATCGTCTGGCATTCTATCTGACATATTTTCTGGCATTTTATCTGGCATCTCTTCTGCAATATGTTCTGGCATATCTTCTGGCATATCTTCTGACATTCTATCTGGCATTCTATCTGGCATATGTTCTGGCAAACATTCTGGCACTATATCTGGCATACCTTCTGGCATTCTATCTGACATTCTATCTGGCATACCTTCTGGCATTCTATCTGGCATATCTTCTGGCATTCTTTCTGGCATTCTATCTGGCGTTCTATCTGGCATATCTTCTGGCATTCTATCTGGCCGTTGAGGTCCAGCGGTGCTCACTGAGCTCGGAGGGTCCCAGGTTGAGGTCCAGCGGTGCTCACTGAGCTCGGAGGGTCCCAGGTCCAGCGGTGCTCACTGAGCTCGGACGGTCCCAGGTTGAGGTCCAGCGGTGCTCACTGAGCTCGGAGGTCCCAGGTTGAGGTCCAGCGGTGCCCAGTGAGCTCAGACCCTTGCAGTTGAGGCCCAGCAGTGCCCACTGCGTGCGGAAGTTGGCGAAGAGCTTGGCGAAGAGTTCGCAAGGCGGAAGTGGACATGGGAGTGGATGCAAAGGTGGTGGAGGAGAAGCTGGAGGAGAGGGAGGAGGAGGAGAAGGAGGTGGAGGATGAGGAGGAGGCGGGGGAGGAGAACAACTGTGATAAAATCTAACAACCCTCACATGGCAGGTGGGGAAAAATGCAGTGAGTCGGGCCTCTCTTAAAATCTGTTCGAAGTCTTGTGGTCACCTCTTGCGAAGAACCGCTGCCGTTTGCACCATTATTGATTATTGAATCGTTACTGATCCTTTCAGCATGAAAGGTGCGGATCTCCTCCGGTGCAGTCAAAGCCTACACCCAGGACCAGAAATTCCTCGGAATGTTGGAGAGCATCTTTCGGTATTTATGCGTATTCTTTATGTGAGAATGTTTATGTAATTTTATGTATGACATGATACTATACCTAAAATATTTTATATAGTAGTATTATATATAGTATTGTATATATATATAGTATTTTGTATAGTATTATATATAGTATTGTATATATAGTATTATATATAGTATTATATATAGTATTATATATAGTATTATATATAGTATTATATATAGTATTATATATAGTATTATATATATAGTATTATATAAATAGTACTATATATATAGTATTATATATATAGTATTATATATATAGTATTATATATATAGTATTATATAAATAGTATTATATATATAGTATTATATAAATAGTATTATATATATAGTATTATATATATAGTATTATCTATATAGTATTATATATATAGTGTTTTATATATATGTAGCATTATATATAGTTATATCCAGTATTACATATATAGTACTATATACATATAATACTATATTAATACTACATATATATATAATGCTATATATAAATATAAATAAATATATATATCATACTATATATATAAAATATAATACTATATTTATAATACTATAAAAAATAATACTATATATAATACTATATATACAATACTATACTATGTATATAATACTATGTATACAATACTACATATTTAATACTATATATGTATGTCGTGTATATCATGTATCATGTATTATCTATGATTATGTAAGTTGCGGGGGTTGTGATTTCAGAGCACTGGTGTGGCTTTTCATGCCAACTTGAGTCAACTCTGTTACTGCTAACACAGTCTGTTTTTTAGTGGATTATATTTTGATCCACCGTGACAGGACGCGCCCAGGCACGACTGGAACCCCACGAGCGCTCTCCTCAGAGTGTCTCAAAATGGCAGCTGCGAGAGTCACAATGTCGAGTCCAAACTTGTTATGAGCTTTCCATGTGATGAAGAGTGACTGATGGACAATTCTCACGGTTGATGGACAATCCTTTGAACATTTTGGAGCCTTTGCCCGCTGCAACTGACAGCGAGGTCACAGGAGGCTCAATGTCTGTGTCAGCTTCGTGGGCGACTCAGGAGCCAGGAGTTCACGCAGCTGCGAAGCACCAAGATAGGCTTCATAGTAATTTGTTGTAGAATGGTCTAAATAAATAGGTATAAGTATGTATAAGTAATCGGATGAATATATAAAATTATACAAATACACACACACACATATATTTATATAATACACATTGTGGCCGCTGCGCGGGTAACTATCACTCTTCCATCCGTAGACGAAGACGAATTACGAAGACGAATTCTGCAGACGAATTCCCCGAAGACGACTTGTCCCCCGAAGACGAATTACTTCCCGAAGACGAACTCCGAAGACGAATTCCCCGAAGACGAATGGCCCCCAGAAGACGAATTACTTCTCGAAGACGAATTCCCCGAAGGCGAATTGGTTTCCGAACACGAATTACTTCCCGAAGACGAACTCCGAAGACGAATTCCCCGAAGACGAATGGCCCCCAGAAGAAGACGAATTCCCCGAAGGCGAATTGGTCCCCGAAGACGAATTACTTCCCGAAGACAAACTCTGAAGACGAATGGGCCCCAGAAGACGAATTACTTCTTGAAGACGAATTCCGAAGACGAATTCCCCGAAGATGAATTCCTGCCCGAAGACGAATTCCTACCGGAAGTCGGATTCCGAACCCCAAGGCGAATTGTCCTCCGAAGACGGATTGCTTCCCGAAGACGAATTCCGAAGACGAATTCCACGAAGACGACTTGCCCCCCGAAGACGAATTTCTTGCTGAAGACGAATTGCTCCCGAAGACGAATTCTTGACCAGACCAGACAAAGGAGTGTAGATTCGAACATGTAAGATGGGGTCTCCATGCGTGCCCCCGATGCTTGCTGCAGGCAGCGTTTCTGCAAACTCATGGCCAACACGATGCGTGGTGCGAAGGCATGAAGTACATTGAAGTACGGCAAGTCTTGCAGTGCGCACATTATACTGTGCATTAATTGCGTGGCATCCGTAAGCGTCAGTCTGTTCCTTGCCTTCCTCTACCACCTTCCAAAAAGACCGCGTTGTCAAAAGAAGTTTCGCACAGACGCCCAGAGCAAGTTGCGATACGCCCCACAAGTAGGTATCTGCCGGATGGTGTGTTTGTGGGCCCGGGGATGTGTGGCGACCCCTGCTGCCAATGAAAGGAATATTGTGGAGCCCCCAGACTATCTCATGCACATTTTCTGGGGTTTCAAGGAGGAAGGCGAACAAGGCCTGGATTAGAAACTGTAACGTTGTTGCAAAACGCGCGGTAGTTGAAATTCAAAAAAGAAGCCACTTGCAGCCACTCGAGTTTTTTCAAGTCTGCAATGACACGGGATGTACGAGTTGAAACGGAAGGAATGATGAAATGAAATGAACCACTTGACACGAAAAGAAGAGGCAAACGAACGCGAGGGAAGTTTTGAAACGAAAGGAAGTAACGAATGGAAGGGAAAGGGTGCAACGAAAGGACGGATGCAGGGAAATGGACGAGTTGAAAGGAAAGGAAGAACAAGACGAACAGGAAAGAAGAGTTGAAGCGAAAGGAAGGAGGTAACGAAATGAACGACATGAAATGAAAGGAAGAGGTAAGCGAACCGCATGTAAGAGTTGAAACGACGGAAGGAAGTAGCGAAATGAACGCCTTGAAATGAAAGGAAGAGGTACATGAAGTGGATGGCAGCGTTAAAACGATGGGGAGGAAGTAACGAACGGAAGAGAAGAGTTTAATGTTTAAAACCTTAAAACGAAAGAAACGACGCATAGGGAACAGAAGCGAAGAGTTGAAACGGAAGGGAAGAAGTAACGAACGGGATGAAGAGTTGAAACGAAAGCAAGGAAGTAACCAATGGAAGGGAAGAGTTTTGCAACGAAAGGACGGACGCAATGAAATGGACGTGCTGAAAGGAAAGGAAATGGTAAACGAACCGGATCTAAGACTGAAAACGAAAGGAAAGCAGTAACGAAATCGACGACTCGAAACGAAAGGAACAGGTAAACAAACCAGATGTAAGAGTTGTAAAAGGACGGAAGCAACGAAATGAACAACTTGAAAAAAGGACGAGGTAAACAAACCATATGTAAGAGTTGAAACGAAAGGCAGGACGTAACGAAATGAACACGGTGAAACGACAGGAAGAGGTAAATGAATAGGATGAACCACTGTGAAGGAAGCAACGAACGGAGCAGAAGTTAAAACGAAACGAGCGATGTAGGGAACAGAAGGGAAGACGAAACGAAAGGGAAGAGTAACGAGCGAAATACTCTTGATGCTAGCCTCCTGACTTGCTCTTCGAGATTTTTGAAATTTCTTTTGATGCTACACTCTTGACCTTCTCCGAAGCATGCCCAGCACGCCCTTGACGCTACCCTCAGGAGACAGTCACACTCTTGAATGCTACGCTAATGTTCTCTTGGAAGTTCGAACACTTGGCTTATCTCGGATCTCTTGGGCTTACCAGCACACTCTTGCTGCTATGCTCTTGGCTTGCTCTTGGGTTTTCCGACACGCGTTTGCTGCTACGCTCTTAGCTTTCTCCTGGGACAGTCCGGCAAGCTCTTGATGCTGCTCTCTTGACCCCAACATGCTCTTGATGCTACGCACTTAGCTTTCTATTGGAACTTCCAACGCGCTCTTGGTGTTTTTACTCTCTTAACTATCTCGCGGGCTTTCCGACAGTTTCTCTTTGGTTTGCTCTGGGACATGCCAGCGCGCTCTTGACGCTGCTCTCTTCGTTTTTCTTGGACGTTTTTTTGCTTGATCTTTTTGCGACGGATTAAACTCCAACACGCTCTTGATGCTACGCTCTTAGCTTCCTCTTGGGACATTCCCCACTCTTGATGGTACGTTCTTGGCTCCGGCTCCGACACTCTTTTGATGCTATGCGCTGAACCTTCTCTTGGAACAGTCCGAGATGCTCTTGACGCTACGGTCCACCACAGTCGTGATAATACGCTCTTAACTTTTTCTTGGAACTTCCAACGCGCTCTTGTTGGTGCTACGCTCCGCCTCTTGATGCTGCGGTATGGAGAAAGTCACGCTCTTGGTGCTGCGCTCTTAGCTTTGTTCTGGAACACGCAGGGCGCTCTAGTTGCTACGCTGTTTTGTTCTTACTCAAGCATTCCAGCATGCTCTGGATGCCATGCTCTGACCCCCAACACCCTCTGGATGCTAGACTCTTAGTTATTTTTTCTTGGCCCTTCACCGCGCTCTCTTGGTATTACTCGCTTAGCTTTCTCTTGGAGCTTCCAGCAAGCTCTTGGTGCTACGCTCTTGGCTTCCTCTTGGAACTGCCAGTGTTCTTTTGATGCTAGCCTCCTGACTTGCTCTTGGGATGTTGAAAACGCTTTTGGTGCTATGCTTTTAGTCTTGGAACTTCCAATCTTAACTTCTTCGTTGAACTTCCAACGCTCTCTTCATACTACGCTGTGAGCTTTCTCCTGGAACACCCCGGCGCTCTCTTGCTTTGGGTTTGGTAAGAAGCTAAGAAGATTAAACTTCAACTTAATGATTGATCCTTGCCCCAAAGATTTTCAATTGAGGTTGCAAAACGCGCCACATGATCTTGATTATCCTGGGCCAGCATGAGGTACCATGACCCCTTCCTACCAGCTGCCGAATTGTTCCAATTCGCAATAACCCCTACCTCTACACCTTATATTTCTACATAACCTAAGCCTTGGTGATCAGACCAAATCCCTTTCTGCCCTCCGGCTCCTCAATCTCCATCTGCATTCCTCTATCTATCTTCTCACATACTACCGTACGCCTGCGCCCTTGCTCCTCATGCCTAGCCCACTAACAGGCAACGTGCGTCAGGCAATGTGTCGTCACAATGCGTCGTCAGGGGGTAATGCGTCGTCAAGAGGCAATGCGTCGTCAGGCAATGTTTGGTCACAATCCGTCGTCAGGGGGTAATCCGTCATCAAGGGTAGTGCGTCGTCAGGGAATGTGTCGTCACAGTGCGTCGTCAGGGGGTATTGCGTTGTCAAGGGGTAATGCGTCGTCAGGCAAGGTGTCGTCACAATGCGTTGTCAGGCAAGGTGTCGTCAGGGGGTAATGCGTCGTCAAGGGGTAATGCGTCGTCAAGGCGTAATGCGTCCTCAGGCAATGTGTCGTCACAATGCGTCGTCAGGGGCTAAGTCAAGAGGCAATGCGTCGTCAGGCAATGTTTGGTCACAATCCGTCGTCAGGGGGTAATCCGTCGTCAAGGCGTAATACGTCGTCAGGCAATGTGTCGTCACAGTGCGTCGTCAGGGGGGACGGGGATTATCGGGAATCTGTCGTCGCAATGCGGCGTCAGCATCAGTGCCAAAAGTCATACCCAAGCTGCGGGTGCCCTGTAAATACATATTATTCTATATATATATATATATTATTATTATTAATAATCATAATAACATATATATATATATATATAATTTGTATATATATATAATTTGTATATATATATATAATATGTATATGTATAGTTTGTATTATATATATATGTATGCACGCAAAATAATAACACACCAGAATTGAAATCATAGCGGTGACAGTAGTAATATTAGTCTAGTAATATTTCTATTCATGGTGAAAACAATAAGAATGATGATAGGAGTAAAAATGATGTTAATATACGTACATGTACTGTATATACGTCATGCTATTGTCTGCCTTCCACTTTTGCAATCCATACTTTGATTTGATCTTCCCCGAGGCCGAGACCAGCTAGCCAGGGAGGCTATCCCAATTCTGCAAGGCATGAGCACGACTAGCATGAAGAGCGAGAAGAGGAACAATTTCGGAGATCTCCGAAGTAGGAAAAAATATAGTTGGATCATGTTGGATCATGTTGGATCTAGTGGTAACTCAGTAGTATATATATATAATGTATATACATATACATATACATATACATATATATACAGTATGTTATGATGACAGCGAGAAGCATCGTTTTGTTCTTTTCCAATTGTCAGAAACACTTTTGCGGGCATAGTTTGCATCCACTGCTGCACCAGGGCCAGGACGTCAATCCGTCCGTCTGTGGCTCCAAAGGCTCAGGCTTGGACCAGCTGCTCCAGCTGCTTTGCAGAGGTGAAATCTCGTACAGATCGTACAGTATCTGAATTAGTCGCAGACCGGGGCCTTGAACCAGTTGGTTGTTGGTCCATGTCGGTTTATATGTCTGCTAATCTCTGGATTTTTGGATATCAACTTGTCAACTATAGAGATTCGCGTCACTTCCCCTGAATTTCTGGAAGGAGAATTCACCTCCCTCTTCTCGTCGCCCTTCATCATCGACTGCCGCGGGTACGCCTGTTCCGCACGGGCCTTACTTGATAGTATCACACCAAAATAAAGAAAACGCAGAGAAATCCTTTCTGGCGGAAACTTCTGCTACTTGCGGTTGGGCTCAGCTGTTTGGACTGTTTGGACAGGATGTCTTCCAAATTTTGGACAAGGATCTTTGCGTCCTTGCCGTATTTGTGAAGGCCGCGCTCGCACGCAGCGGTAGCAGCTGCAGTGGCCAATAAGGCGCATTGAAGGGAACCGTTCAACCAAAACACGAGAAAACCTGCTGGCGATTTGTGAGGTAAAAACCATGCAAACTATTGCACACTCAAATACGGTCATTCAATAGGTCAAAACAATTGTTCTCTTTTTAAAGAGCCACGAAGTCACACCTGACAGCTCCGAATGCTGCTGCCACTGAATTACGTGAATTTGGTGTAATTACAATCTTAAAGCAGTACGCAGAATTGCACATTCGATACTGCTGTAGCTGGTACTTCGCTCCTCAGCTCATTGCTGACATTTGCATGAGGTGGCTGCAGCTCTGTCACAGTCTGAGTGCTTCTCTCAGCGTTTAGACTAATTCTTTCTGCATGTTTCGAGAAGACATGAGAAGACTATATCAGTGTAGCTTTGTAGCCCCCAGAATTTAGAGCCACTGTGCGTGC